TGTGCGCTTTTTATTATATTATGCATATAGTAAAATAAATCTTTTTTGCTTTAGTTTACCCCTTTTTTGGGGCTAAATAATTTTGTCAGATATAGCCTATTGAACAAGTTTAATGGTTTAGTTTCTTCCCTCATATTTAAAAATATAAAATATTTTTCTCACATTTTGATGGTATAATCAAACTTGTAGGGTCAATACAAACAAATCCCTAAACCAATCCCCTCTGGACATCACTTTTCATTTTATTTTCACGCATAATGAATATTCATCATAATATCAATAAAATATAAGCAGGTTAAAGAGGCATTTCTATTGACTTCTAACGTCATATATCAGCTGTTGTCCGTATAACCTGCTGAAATGTGGCATTGTTGTTCAAAGTGAAAAATGTGAAATGGGTTGTAGTCAGACCCCGTAAGTATTTTCACAGCGGGAGCTGAAGTCCCTGTGGGTTTTCAGCAGGAAACTGTCTTCAAAACAGCCACTTCCCCTAGAATAACACACACATTTATCCGTTTATCACACAACAGGCTCTTGGGTGGCGAGTGTTGTGATATGTGTGTGAAGTTTATGTGTATAATAGGAGGGTATAATATCATAGGTGTACATAATGACAGTGTGTGGGAATCGGTTATTTTGCTGCTTCAGTCCGTGATAATTGTCCGACATGTGTTAAACGGCTTACTGGTACAGTAGCATTTGTTTGGTCATTGTTCAAGCCCCCTGGAACTGTGATTCATTTGTAAATGATCTTGGTTTTACTGACCTCTGTGGCTCCAGTCCTTTTGGGTAAACATGCTGAGGTTTTGGGGGTCACTGGGGTCGTAAAGTGTCTCTTTGCCCCACTAGGGTCAATCTTGCAGGAACTGTGAGTGGCCACTAATGATCCCAGACATGATCTCCTTCCTGCGCTATGGATGTCAATAGCTTTACCCTCTAACCCTCACCCTGCTTGTAAGTGGAAAAACACATGCAGAGCTGTGGAACGAGGCCCAGTGTGAGTTTGTGGACAATTTTACTCAGAATTAAAGGAATAGTTCGTCATAAAATGAAAATTCTGTTATTATTTACTCACCCTCATAAAGAATCTGTATGAGATTCTTTCTTCTGCAGAACACACAAAAAAAAGATATTTTGAAGAACGTGTTAGCTTCTCTTATGTTATTACGAGTGAACTGAAAAAGAGAAGCAAATCGAGTCAGATTATTGGAAAAAATCACTCAGGCAGGTTTTGTGAACCAGACCACTGTGAACAGATTTGTTTAAACTCAGGCAGCAACATAGTATCACGTTTACCAGATGTGGGCCGGATCTGGGCCGACACTATGTTGCTGTCTGGGAAGAGTCTGATTCGGACATTGCTACTCATCTCATGAACGTGCCAAGGAGAGCTGGATGTCAGTGAATAACAACTTTTTAATAACAACATTGTTCCTCATGCAGATTTATGTGGTTTCAGAAGATTTGGAATCCAGGAATTTTTTTCATATTTATTATTTATTATGATGATCACTATTTATTATACATTTAGGTAGCTTAAAGACTCAATAGTTCACCTGAAAATGCAAATTCTATCATCATTTACTCCTCCTCATGTCTTTTTGAAGCACATACATTTTGAAAGAAGACATTTTGAAGAATGTACTGGCTGCTCTTTTCCATGCTATTTAAATGAATGGTGCACTTTTATGCTTCAAAGAGGATTTTATATTTTATGAAGTCATATGATTGTTAGACAGCAGACCAAAATCTTAGTTGTTATTCACAGAAAAATTTCCTCTCAGATTAACTGGAAAACCGCTGTTATTGGATCATTTGCTCATTGTGTTTAATGATTCTGACTCAAGAAAATTATTAGTTTTAATCTTTGATTAGTAGTCGGATATTGCTAATTTTCTGATGAACGTGCCACGGGTGGATGTCAGTGAATTACATTTTACATTTTACACTTTATAAGGTGCCTTTGTTGCACTGTAATTATAGATTTAAGTACTGAGTAATATTTATGGGTTATGGTCAGGATTAGGGTTTGGTTTAGGGTTAGTTTCATGTAATTATAAATAATCTATAGTTATTACTATAGTATTACATATAACAAGGACACTGTAAAATAAAGTGTTACACAACTTAAATATTAGCCTGTTCCTTTTACAAAGCTATCGAATGGTTGCAGAAGATTTGGAATACATACTGTAAGAAAAAAATCCATAGAAAAACAGAAAAGGTACTGGTAATTTTCTGCCAGGACTTTATCCGTTAAGTTTACGGACGTTTCCTTTAACCATAAAACACAACACAATGGGTAATTCAAAATATGGGGAAAACACCTGCGCAAAATCCAATATTGAATATTCCTTCATATTAACATTGGGCCCCTGTTTTTACAGACATGAATCATATGGACTAGTTATGATAGTTAATGGTGCTTTTGTGTCATTGTTTTTAATTGCACAGATACGTTTAGCCAGTGCAATTATACAGAATCTCTCCCAAACAAAGGTGAGGTTTTGGAATTACTTGAGGATGAGTAAATGATTTCCCAGAATTTCTATTTGTAAGTAAACCATTCTTTTTATTATGAGATTGAACAAGATTTAGGAGATTTTAAACTGGCAGATGACTGGATAAGTGTGCCGATAGACACACTCTTTTCTACATCTACACAGAGAGTGATATATATTCAGATTGACAGGGTGAACAAGGGAGTTTAACAGCAAAATAAATGACCAGCTCTTAAGGAATGTTCACTGACCACTCTCCTTTCTTACAGCCCCCCGGGGGAACAGAGGCCTGATGGAGCACTTAACACTCTCAGACATGCAAATCTTTCACACTCTACATTAGAGCCCATTACTTTGACTCAACGGGCCGTCCGGTCACTGGTGTTAGTTTGTATTGTCCTTACGCATGGATTTTGCTTCTCAATGGGTCAACTCTCACGCATTTCCACCTCTTAACATGGTGTCCTGGTTAGCAGCTTTTGCAATGCAGAGGTCACAGGCTCTTGTTTCCTATGGCTTTACACTGCTGTGCATTGCTGTAATACTTTCTCCCTCTGTAAAGACCTCCCATGGTTTTATTGTGGTTCATCCTCGCCCCATTTGAACTGAATGCTACTGTCATGGATTACTAGTTATAAATGAAGGCCGCAGACGTTAACTCCATAAAAAGGGTTCAGAGCATCTAGCATCATATTAGAGTATAGTTATACAAGCACATAGTGTTTTCTATAGTGCCATTCAATACTGCTATATGTAATGTAATGTACACGCACTGCTTTTAGTTGCATGTTGTTCTTTGTCGATTCTACAAGAAGAGTGCACACAGATGAGCGGCTGACCCATCCAGTCACTAGCATCATGAGACCATACCAACTAATCTGAAAATCCTTCAGTGAATCAACATACACATGTTATATAATTACAGTTCATCCACAGTAGTCACTCCAACTAACTGAATAACTCCCTTCACTGTCAGAAAAAAGTTACAAAAGCTGTCACTGGGGTGGTACCCTTTCAAAAGATACACCTTTGTACCCAAAGAGTGAATATTTGTACCTCAAAGGTACATATTGGTACCAAAATGGTATATATTAGTAGCCTATACCTATTGTACTAGAAGCCTTTTAAAGGGTACCGTCCCAGTGACAGCTTTTGTACAATTTTTTTTTTCTGAGAGTGTTCCTTACAACCTTACAATTTTATCATTGATTATATATTGCTATAATTAGTGCAAAAAAAGTTATTTGGACACAGTCAAATAATTAAGATTTTAATGTTTTTGAAATAAGTCAGTCTCCTATGCTAGCTATCTATCTGTCTGTCTGTCTGTCTGTCTGGTGGGTGGGTGTAGGGGATTGTAAACAATTTAACAATATATAAAAATTATATTTACCGGTAGGCAGTTTCATGGATGCATTTAGCTGATGGCCATGCTCTACTGTTTGAACTACAGGAATGCTCATATTACACTTCTTGGTTGTATAATTTTGTCCATATGTGATGAACTACACCTGTAGTTGCTTTGTTAGAACTCCACGTGTAAACTTGAGGGGAACTGACTTCATCTAAGAATCACTTTCACAGTTGGTTAAAAGTCATTGCAAAAAATCAAGTTAGTTCTGAGAAACGCTCTAGCGTGATTTCTTTGCATTTTCTTTGTGGCTTTATATTTTGATACTTTATTCAATGACATTCAGACATTTGTAAGTGTCTAAACACATGTAGGGGCACTTTATGGCATATTCAGTGCTGCCAGTTTAAAAAAAAAGCTAAATCATCAGGTACTGTACATTTTATTTTAGTTTTTTTTTCTGTTGAATGATGCTTAGCAAATGTCATTACGAGCATGATCCTTCAAACAGGAATAGTGGGTTTTTACCTAAACTTCTGTACGAAACCGCACTGAACCAGTTTTCTCATAGTCACACCATGCAAAATGAGGTTTTATGACTCATACAGGGTATGTTTGTAACTGCCAATCAGTGTCAGGGACATGGCAACATGCTTTTGTTATGGTACCACCTGAATAAACAGAATCCCTTTAAGGGTAAAAGGACAGGGGGAAAATAACAGAAAACACAAATAAGGATGATAATGAAATGAAATTTGGAAAAAAAACTGCATTGCAATATAGCATAATTTGCATTTAAGAAATTTCGTGTGTGTTTATGGTTGAATGGATCCCGCATCATGTTGGGGATTCCACCGATGGGTACTCAGTGTATTTGGTCAGACCTGAATGAGTTTACATATTAGGGTATCCCCGTCATCAATGCATGAGGTTACTGTAATGCTGTCCTCGACATGCTTGAATAACTTTTGATAAATCTACTTTGAGGAAGTTAGTGCTGAGCAACAGTGCTTTCCACTACATGCACGTGTTTCTGTACAGAATGAAAACATAAACAATACTGGGCATTGCAGGGAAACTCCAGTATCATGCCCTAGAAAAGAGTTACTATAGAAGTGGTCAAAACACAAACACCCAACACAATAATCTGAGTTCTGAAAAATTTATTGCAAGACTTCAAATAGCCAAAGCAGCTCTTTTAAACTGGAACGTCTCTGGTTTATCATGTAATAAATAAATGCAATGGTCTACATAAGTGCAGAAAGAAACCAGTTAAAAAAATCTATATACATATGTACAGTAAACATCTTGCTCACTATATCAGCACATTTGAATGTTCACAGTGCCTCTTCTCACTATGAAGAGATATTTTACAGTAATACTGGAAGCAATGCAGTATGCGATACCATACTGACAGACATATTTACATTCTATCAACTTTTCAATCAGGCTCAGCCTGTTTACTATATTTTTTTCCTTATACAAAGCACATATTAGCAAGTCATTTCATGTAATATTTGGAAGCATATTCGCAGTCCAAGGTGCGTGTGCGCTTTTGTTAACTAGAGTGAAAGCTAGAAGACTCGGATTCTGTGGATACAGATGACATCCCTGCTCTCTTCTTCGGCAGAATTTTCAAACTGGACCCCCGGCTAGGAGATAGAGCGCTGCGGGCGGACTTCTTGAACTTCACGCCCAGAAACGCGTATAGGATGGGGTTGAGGCAGCAATGAAAGTATGCGAGAGCCTCAGTCACGAAGATCCACTTCTGTAAACCCTGCTCGAGCTCACAGCTGTGAGGAATCACCTCTAGCATCACCAGCGTGTCCAGCAGGATTCCCCCGCAATAAGGCAACCAGCAGACGAAAAAGCACACGATCAGAACCACGGTGGTCTTGAGCGCCTTGCGCTTCTGCGTGCCCTTCGAGCCGCGCGACAGCTTGGAGATGATGATGCAGTAGCAGACGAGAATCACGATCCCGGGTAGCACGAAGCCCACCAGGATGTGCTGGAAGCGAAAAGTGACCACCCAAGTAAGGTAAGAGTCCTGAGGGTAAATGCGCTCGCAGAAGGTGCGTATAGCGCTGGTCTCCGCTTTGGCGAACACCAGGTCGGGGATGGTGAGGAGCGCGGCGGGGAGCCACACGCCGACGTAAATGATGCGACTGGCTAGAAGTTTCCTCGGACCTTGGCTGTTCGTGGCGCGCACCACGGCGAGGTACCGGTCTAGACTGATGAAGGCGAGGATGAGGACGCTGCTGTATAAATTCACCGTGTAAATCATATGCACGGCCACGCACATGAACCCTCCAAAATACCAGTCTTTGGCCGCGTCCACGGCCCAGAACGGCAGGGTGAGCACAAACAGAAGGTCCGCCACTGAAAGGTGCAGACGGTACTTGTCTGTCATGGTTCTGGATTTCTTCTGGCAGCCCATTACCAGAACAACCAGTCCATTCCCGACAAGACCCAAAATAAATATGATTCCGTACACGGTTGGAAGAAAGATCCTCTGGAACTCGTGACTGACATCCACATCGCACGGGACCTCAAAATTGGCCCCAATGTCCCCCGAGCCGAACTCAGAGTTGTTATCAGCTGATAAATCATCTTCAAAGACGATGTGCTGCAAAAAAGTAAACAGACAAAGTTAAATATGTTTTTCTTATAAAGTAGCCTAATTTAAATGCAATCAAACTTCACTCAAGAAAAAAAGTTTTTTGAGTAACTGTTGGCTTACTTCGTAGTATGCCATCTTTAAAACACTCCTCCGGTGCTGTCAGTCTCCAGAAATTCTACAGCGACTTTGTAAACTTCTGTGGAGCTCAGATGATTTAAATACCCCACTCGTGCGCGCAAACTCCGCCCACTCACACACGCAATCCACAGCAGCACGCGCGCTCGAGTCTGCGCTCGCGCCCAGAGAACAGGTAGCAGCATCTGCGCCTTCCGCAAATACTCTTTTCCTGTTTTCGTGTTTCAAAATGTATGTGTGATTGAAGAAAACGACGTCCTGTGACGGAAATCGGTGTTTCAATTGTGTGTCTGCAGAAAACTTCACACATAACCAGTTACCTTTGCCTATTCCAAGAAATATGTTCATTTCTAATTCCAAATTGTGGTAAACAAAGTGGTACGATATGATTATACGTGTTTATATTATTATATTTCATTATTATATTATGTGTTATATGCGCATGAATGGCTTTCTGTTTAATCGTGATAGTGACGTATAGGCCTAAGTGGCATTATCACTACAACCCTCAAAACACTTTTAAATGTCATTCAACCAGAGGCTTCACACACACACACACACACACACACACACATATGAAAGTGTTTTCATACTTTGACGCTGAGCTGTGAAAAGTAGGCTACACACAAACACTTTTTATTTAGGCCTAAGTGAAACTAAATCTGAAAAAATTAGGAGGAATTGGCTTTTTGAGCATGGAAACATACACACTGTATGTTAATCTCTTAAGTGCTCTGAGCTGTTTATGTTTTGCATAGGTTGAATGGCATTTTATCACATTTAAAAGGTGCTAATGTGTTGATGATCAGATAAAATCACAGAGAGAGACTGAGTGATCACAGATCGTACAGTTCTCCCTTTGTTCAAAACACCCAAACGCCATAGTAAAATTGTATGTATATGTATATGTATATGTGCGTCTCTATCTATACAAATATAGGGGGACAACTGAAAATGGGACACTTAAGATTTGTATTTAATTATGTTCTTTTTAATGTACTGAAGCTATTTCAAATGGTATTGTGTGAGGTTACGTGCTGTTTGGCATCATATTTAAAAACAAAAGGACAAATTATCACAGAGTCTCTGAAGAGAACCTCTCAGAAGAGAACACCCACTGCCCTCTACTATAATATTGCAGTCATCCAATACTTGGTTGTAACCGTCACAGATGTTGGTCAGTGAACAGAGATGCAGACACCTGGCTGAAATGAGAGGTCAGACCTATCGCTGTTTTAGGGAGCAATGAAGGGCAGTTCTCAAAGACAAAAAACCCTTTGGCAATGTGTGTGTGTGTGTGCTTTCCTCTGGGAGAACATGTGTTTTCACCTGCCCCCAGCCAACAGAGATGGCTTCCAGAAAACTGCTTCACAAACTGCTAGAGTTGTAAGGTGATCTCTATGTGTGTGTGTGTGTGTGTGTGTGTGTGTGTGCCTTCAAAATCTGTTGCATTTATTATTCTGTTATAAACACATATTCTATCTCATATAGTCACCACACGATAGTATAACAGAGCTGTAAATGAACCTTTAGCAAATGCATGGAATCTTATATCATAATTAGGTCATGCTTTAATGGAACTTATATTTTTGTTTGAACTCTCAGTCTCTCAGTTTTTCCACAGGAACATTAAGAAATCAGATTTAGTGTTTTCTTGTGTGTTCTTATGTGTGGTTGTGTGAATGCATGTGGGCCGATGAAAGAAAGCTAGAGCAGTAAGACACTAACTGGATGTCTTTTATGTCTGCAGATACCACAGAGGTGTCAAGGGTGCAGAGGCATCAAGAAACAGTGTGACAGAAAGATGGAATCGATGCATTCACTGTTGTTTTTTCTCATGTCAGTAAAGCAAAAGATCCATGATTGTAGATTTTCTCATCCTCTGTGTGCAATGAAAAGGAAGTTGACCGTTGGTATGACGACAGAGGTTTGGAGACAGCTGTCCTTAAAGGTTCACAACAAAAGAAAGGAACAATAGGATAAAACAGTGTAATTAATTGTGAGGTTGTTTGTGCATGATATATATTTAAATACATTTTCATATTGGATCACACAATTATCCAGCTAACAAAGAACATTCTAAGAACTTTCCTAACGTCTCAAAGTTATGAACAAACATTCCTCCAGTAACTTTTATAGAATGTTTGTTCAAAGTTATCTGGTCTTTAATAACGTTCTCAGAATGTTAGCACAAAAACATTATTTACACATCGTTCAAGGAACGTTTTTTCTTTTCTGAGAGGTTTTAGTTGAATGTTCGTCTAACATGTTTCAATGTTGCAGCTTGAACATTCAAAAGGAGCGTTGTCATAATGTTTGCGAAATGATAAAAAGTTATGTTTCCTTAACGTTCGCATAACCCCCGAAAAACTTTTTAACATTATTTAAAAAATTGTACGTTTTTAACGTTCAGAGAACATTCAGAAATAACGTTTTCATAACTATGTTTACACGACAACAGTGTACTAAAAAAACGGAAAAGTTTTTCCTTTGCGTTTTTCGCCTACAGGGGAAATGGATCTGCGAAAACCATTACAAATGCTGTATTATCCTGCAAGGCCAGTAGTTGGCGATGTCCCTTTGCAAAGAAACACTGATCGCCTATAGACTCAACACATAATACACATGCACATTACGTCACCGTTTTCACAAATTCGTGTTTGTGTAGTTTACACGGAGATGATAATGGTATCGGTTTCAAAAAGTTTGCGTTTTCAATATTCCTAAAAATGCATGCAAAACTACATCAAATTCAGTATATAAACTAAGTCACTCAGTGTGTGTAAAAGTGAACAGGTCGAGTTCGAACTTCTTTTTGAAAAAATCACCCACACGAACACATACAAAATGTCGGTAGTACAGAGGGTTTCCTCCCTTCTCCATAGGGCATGACAATAGCCCTCAGGACAGGGCAGAGAGGCTCTGATAAGAATACAATAGGTCTGATGATTCCAGATAAGAAATTCTGGCCTTTCTGAGAGTCATTAGGCCATCTGTATGTGTTTATGTGTATGTATGCCGACTATGATTTAAACAGATGAATTTAGAGGAAAATATTCAGATAAGAGCATGCTGCAGTTGAAAGCTTCTTTGCGTGTTGTGTGAAGTTGAGAAAAGAAACCCACAAGAAATTTGAGGTCTATTTGCAGATCTACTAGGCAAGCTCGATGGTGCCTTGAAGTCTATACGTTGGCCACTAAAGTTCCAGCCTCAAGGCGACAGAAAACAAATCACTGCTTGGCCAACCCATTCATAGAGGTGAGCAGAGAGAGGGGGAGAAAGAAGAGGTGGTATTAAGGAAAGAGGAGACACCTGTTTGAATGGCCCACTGATCATGCTCTTTTTCTCTCTCTCTTTCATCCCAGCTTGTTTGGTCATGGAGACAGCTGAAACTATTATGGGAGAACAGAGTCGGTGACAGACCCGTATTAATTAAAAGCCATTGACTGAGCAAAGACTATAGTCGATTCACTGCTGCATTGAATTATCCAGGTTAGAAGAAGTGCAAAAACAGTATGAATGAGACAGCACTTAAATCAACCAGTCAAATTATTTGTAAGCTTATTTGTGTATATAGTATTTGATGTTCACATTAGGATGAAAAGAAAATGTGCATTCTAAAAAAATGCTGGGTTGTTTTAACCCAATTTTGGGTCAAACATGGACCAACCCAAATGTTGGGTTAAAAGTTTAATTTAAAAATGTAACCCAACGGCTGGGTTTGTTCATATTTGACCCAAATTTGGGTTGAAACAACCCAGCATTTTTTTAGAGTTTGAGATGTTTTATCAATGTTATTTCGATTTTAAATGAATATTCTGGGTGCAATACAAGCTAAGCTCAATCAACAGCATTTGTCGCATATTGAAAATAGACTTGTGTATTATGGGATGGCGGATGGGATGTAGCTTTACCCAAAAAGAGTGATTTTTTTTCACACCATGTTTTATGGCTTGTAGCTACTATTCAAAAAGTGATTATTTTAACATCTACACTGGGTTGTTTCAACCCATGGTTGGGTCAATTATGGACAAACCCAACTGTTTGGGTTGGGAGTTGGGTTTGTCCACATTTGACCCAAGAATTGGCCCAAATCACTGTAACCCTTTTTTTCTTTTTTTAAATAAAAGGAGGGACAAGTGGAATAGTTAAAGATTCCGTCATTCTTAATGACTTTTTTCTGCAGAAAAGAAATGAAGATATATTTAATTAGACTATTTTTGTCCATAAAAGTCAATGCGGTCCAAAATATTCAAGCTCCAAAAAAAAGTTCTCACATGTCACATCACCAAATGTCATGAGATTTGAAGTTTGTGTCATCATATTTGATGCCGGTTTTGTATGCTTGCGTTTGAATAATAAAGGCTTTCATTTTGATCTGTTCATCTGTTTATCAAGTGGTTGTGTTGCTTTAGAAGACCATTTTGTTCGTATGGATTATTTATTTCACACTATACCTTTATGTCTTTTTTGGAGCTTCAAAGTTCTGGACCCCATTGACTCTCCTAATATGGACAAGAAACACTAAAACATTATTCAAAGTATCTTCTTTTATTCTGCAGAGGAAAGAAAGCCATGCAAAGTTGGAGCAGCAAGAGGGGGGAGTATAAATGATGACATCATTTTCATTTTTGGGCGAACTTATTTCTTTTAAAATTCTGAAATCTTTGTCTTCTCTGTCTGGCAAGAAATCTGACTCTGACTCAGTGAATGGGCCTGAATTGTGTTGCAGGTCTTTGAGAGGATTAGATGGGCTGATCTGAAGACTGATATGGAACCCTCCTGTCTGTCATTTGCATCCTTTGTGGAAGGACATTCACTGCTCTGTGTGTATATGTGTGGATGGGGGTGGGGGGCTGTATGTTAAATGACCAGAACATTTACTGTCAAACGTAACGCACTCTAAAGGCCCCACACATACAACACTGCCACATTTTGTATGTTGGGGTGGGGTAATTTCCTTAACAGACATTTAACTCATTTTTGCCATACAGTTGGTCTAGTAGATCTCATAAAGTGTCTCCTCCTATCTTTCCAGACAAGTGCTAGGCTTACTGATCATGAACCACTCCTATCTGAGTGATATAGAAAGGGCCGCTCCCTTTAAAAAATCAGCAGCTTTTAACATTGTGACTGGAAACAAAACTTTGGTTTATTTGGGTCACATTTACATTCACATTTATTAAACAGACACTTTTATCCAAAGCGGCTTACAAATGAGAGTACAATGACAGCAAAATTTAAATAAAATTAAAGTATGCTACCTGTCAAAATGTTTAATGTTTTTCAAAGAAGTCTCCTATGCTCACCAAGGCTGAACTTATTTGATTAAAAATACAGGAAAGGATTTACCTTTCAATTTAAAGGAGCTGTTTTCTATTTTAATATATTATAAAATGTAATTTATTCCTGTGATGGCAAAGCTGAATCTTTTAGCAGCCATTTCTCCAGTCTTCAGTATCACATGATCCTGCAGAAATCATAGCATCGTTGCAGTGTGTCATGCGCTTAATGAAATGCAAGGTTTATTATAATGATGTCTGGCAATTGCCAAAATACAATGGAGCTATTTAGTATTAAATCTGCTTTCGGCTGGCTCAGTGGCTCTAATTGACTGATAAGATTCACCTGATTCATTCATATGTTCATTCTGTCTCACAATAGAAAGGGATTACAATGCAATATACAACGTTCTGACTTTAACCTTTGTCAGTAACGAGTGTAATTACATTACCATGGTAACACCAGTTCAGTGTTGAGAGGAGACTGAGAGAGGACCAAGTCATCCATTGTCCCCAACAGCTAGAAGCGAATAAGAAAATCTTGAATGATAAGAATGGACAATCATAGAGTAAACATACAAACACACTTAGAGGTTTCCGCTCCCAATGTGTCTCTGAGGTCTGACATACTTCAGTGAACGACAGATGTTTGTCTGCTGAGGTGTGCTTGTGCTTTTTACAAGATGATTCCACAGAATCACTGTGTGTGTCTACTTTTGTTGTCTCAACCAAGATGTTGCCCAAGTACAGCCACATCGCTGAAGAAGAGGGTCTTGAGGTAAAAGATTTGTGGTTGAGGCTGGGGTGTGGTGTTGGCATATGCCCGTCTGTGTATGAGTATGTCTGTGTACATCAAACGTACGTCTGGGTGTGGATGGGGCTGCATGTGTGAGAAGATTTTGTAGAAAAGGCAAGGGTATGTATGTGACTAAGTTAAACTTTTTTTTTTCACTCTGATAGCGTGTGACTGAGTGTACCAGGCAAAACCACAGCTTCCTGGTATTTTGACACTAATTTGTGTCTTATATCTCAGCACTACAGTTTGAGTTATTTTGGAATCGTGTTATGTAACAAGTCTTAATGATTTTAGCACACAACACACACTATGGGGTAGGCTATCTCAGTTACAATCTACCTTGAAACTTTGAAAATGAATTGCATACCAAAGATTTATTCTCTATTCTCTCATTGCACGTTGTGCCTGTTATACAACCTAGACTCAAGCTGCGTCCCAATGTGCATACTATCCATCCTAAATAGTATGTGACATTAGTAATTTTCAATACTATTTAGGGCGTAGTATGCACATTGGGACGCAGCTTCAGTTTTATGTACCCACTGGGTTACTGATATACAGGGATAAAAATATGAGATGAACGCCATCACTGTTTTCTCTGTGTCAGTGGCGCCATCATTTGGGCATAAATTGCTACTACCAAATTCTGTCACTTGCTCAATAATATAACATAATATAATATAATATAATATAATATGATATAATATAATATAATATAATATAATATAATATAAAAGTGAAATGTGTTGTATTACATAAAATATTTGCATTGTGGTGTACTGTTGGGACTGCTGGAAAAGAAAGATGGACAGACCAGTCTGACTTTGAGTTTTTTTCAGCAGAGGTATGTACAATATTGTACTTATACATGTAGCCTATCCATTTTGCTGAAAACTTGTATTTAAAGCAACTTACAAAAGAAGTACTAGCTAATATAATCACAAAAGGATTTCTAATAGCCTACTGTATTGTAGGCCTGCTATGAACATTACATTTTACTTGGTCAATAAACTCAAAATATATTCATTATATATATAATAAAAATGTATGAATATTTTCTTCAATCCCCCTTCAATCCAATGAGAACTATTAGCTCGTTTCTGCGCATGCGCTCTCGCTGTCTCTCAGCTCACTGGAATGACGTGCGGGAACGTTCCCATCGCTGCTCACGGCAACGTCAGCGGGTAAGGAAATGCGATGCCCTAATAACAATTCCTTAAATTATATACACTCATATATGACGAATGCAAACCGTAAAATATCACGACCCGTAACAGTGTCCGTTTCGAACTGCCGACTGAAGTCGCCATGTCACATTCGTGCTAAAGTTATTATAGGGACGCAGCGCGAGCTCGATGACTCCTTATCTTGTTTTGGATCCGGTAACTCTGCCTTTTTTACAATATTTATTCGTCTATCTTCGCAAAGAACCCTGTATACACTATGGACACATTGTTAAATATACGTATTAAAACAAAGTAGCAGTTGTGTACAACAAAAGACCTGAAAAATGCAAGCAAATGAAAGCGAGCAGGCGGCTTGCAACGCTGTAACCAGACCCATGATGAGTTGGATGGGAAGGAAGGTGCGATCAGAACAGCGTCAGCTCATAAACACTACATTTCACATAACTACGTATTGTTTTGTGGAGGGGGAAAATACTGCTTGTGTTGTATTTATTTACAAAATTGTCAAAACAAACATTGACATTGCTTAAATAGTCATGTGTTGAATGAATGTCTGGACAGTTGTTTGGTAACTTCTTATTATAGTTTCTTTTGACTTGCATTAAACGTTTGCTTTTGCTTTTATTTGGAAGTTATATGTGTTATTGAATTTGGGGAATTATGACAGTGAGAGACATGGCAGTCATTGTGATAGCTAACAGCTGTTACCTCGAAAGAACAAAGACAGCTGTTTGCAAAGGGCCAATTTCTGAACTTCCTCAAAGCTCAGATTTATTCATTCAAATTGTTCAGTGAGTCTTAATTTAGAACATTGAAACAACTTAATAATTTGTTATTTTAATTGTTTAATATTTGACATTGATTTTCTCCCATTAATCTCAGTGTCAGTCTGCTGAATGCCACCGCTTATTTCTGAAAAGACACTAAAATGTATTTTTGCAACATAGCCTACTGCATTTGCATACATCATTTAAATGTTTTGGTCCGGTACGATTTTGTAATTTATTTATTTGCTCAAAAATACAGTAAAACCAGTGATATTGTGAAATATTTTTTTTACAGTTTTAAAACACTGTTTTCTATTTTAATATGTCATTTATTCCTGTGATCCAAGATGAATTATCAGCATCATTACTCCACTCTTCAGTGTCACATGATCCTTCAGAAATCATTCAATTATGCTGATTTGGTGCTCAAGAAACATTTCTTATTATCATCCATGTTGAAAACAGTCGTGGTGCTTAATAGTTTTGTGGAAATCGTCATACGTTTTTTCAAGATTCTTTGAAAAAAAAAAAGAGCATCATTAAATTGTACCATTATAAATGTCTTTTCTGACTCTTTAGTAAATCAGTTTAATGTGTTCTTGCTGAATAAATATATGGATTTCTTTTAAAAAATCTTACCGACCCAAAACTTCAAAAGAGTAGTTCAGTTTGTGTGACTCAAAGCAGGATGATACATTGTTTTTTATCCCATTTGCAGATCTAAGCCACGCTCATTAAGAAGATGGATAGCTATGGGTTTGTATCTTAATTTTATCCAATGACTGTTACCCCTCCTCTTCTTCGATTCTATATTTAAAATCATACGTCTGCACGTTCTTTCAGGTTCTCCAGTGATATGTTCAGTGGCAGAGCAGTTCTGGGGGAGGACAGCTCGGTCATGGCCCGCATGCAGAAGAAGTTCTGGAAGACCAAGCAGGTTCTGATCAAGGCCACCGGAAAGAAGGAAGACGAGCATGTGGTGGCATCTGACGCGGATCTTGATGCCAAATTAGAGGTACGAGCACCTTTTTAAATGTAGTAAAAATTACCTCACTAACTGACTCGGTCAGCAATAAGTGAAACTGTGGCGTCACTGGGCTGGGTTTTTCTTTCAATGACTGTATGACTCATGCTTAATTTTAACATTTGAAAGCAAGTTATTTTTTTCATTGTGTGTGAGCCTCACAAAGGCAGAGGAATCTAAGAGTATTTTATGATCTATGGTGTCGAACGCAGCACTAAGATCAAGTAAAACTAGTACTGAGATACAGCCTTGGTCAGAAGCTAGTCAAAGTAAGCCATTTGTAAAGTTTCTGTGCTATGGTGGAGCCTGAATCCAGACTGAATTTTTTTTATATAAATAAATTTTTTTGCAAGAAGGAGCACAATCGAGCAGACATAAATGGAAGATTTGAAATGGGTTTGCTAATTTATTTGGATCTAATTGTGGTTTCTTAATGAGAGGCTTAATAACTGCCATCTTTAACGGTTTTGGGACATGACCTAGAGATAAAGATAAAGATAAAGATTGGTTTAGATGCAATGATAAGTTTATTTAGCTCTTCCTGTCCTATAGTTGTAAAGCACTGCAATTGTTCATGAGGGGCGATAAAACCCAGAGTGATACCCATTTATTTACTTAATTGTGTCAGAGAAAGTGATTTTTCTTTTTTGTTACTTTTTGCAAAAAAAGTACTTTTTTTTTACTTTTTACTTTTTACTTTTCTTACTGCTTAAAAAGCACACTAGTGTTTCATTCTTTAACTATATGGACCTAGAATAGAATATTGTGAAATAACATAAAACAAACAGGGAGCATATTGTAAATGCATTACTTTTAAAAGTAACTTTCCCCAACACTGCTGATTTAATAGTTTTATAAAATAAAGTAGCTCTCTGATTACTTTTAATCAAGACCTAATAAAAATCCGTAGACCACTCACAGTTTAAGGAAGTGTGTGTGTGTGTGTTTACGTGTGCTTGTCTTATCTTGCCCTGCCTCGGGCTGTTACTCTTGAGCATATCCTGGTTTACTGGTCATTAGATGGTTTTGTGGCTGTGCCAGTGTGCGAGAGAGCAGCAGAGAAGCCACCATAAACCCCCCGGCTGCTTGCTTAATGAACAGGTGTATCCATGTTCTTTCTACTTTAAACCACAGCTGCCATTATGTCCAAAAGAATAGTCTTTTATCCCGTTTACTCACCAAGCTCTATTTCCTCTTAACTTTAAAACAATGCATCACCCTTATGGTGCGAAATGGCAGGATTTTACGTAGGAAACTTCAATAACAGTGTTTGTTTAGGAGAGCCTGTTGTAGAACCATGATTCCTGAGGGTGTTCTGTTTGTCAGACCTGAGCTCAAGAGTTAAACTGTAACCTGAATGCAGAGCTCACCTGCAGGGGTCACAGCTACATCAGCACACGCAGACCTTAGTCAGGGTAGATGCCGTATTTAATTTGATGATGCACATGAAAATATTGCACTAATACAAAGATGACCCCACTAATAGACCAATAATTTTGGTCACTTTCCTGGAAGAGAATAAAATATGGATTTTACTCTGAATAATATCAACTTATGCTAAATTACCACCTACACTACCTTTCAAAAATTTGGGGTCTGTAAATGTTTTTGAAAGACGTTTCTTATACTCACCAAGGCTGCATTTATTTAATCAAAAATACAGTACAAAATTATAAATATAAAAAATATAATATTGTGAAATAATTTTAATATATTTTAAAATCTAAAAAGCTGATTTTTTTAAGCATCATTACTCCAGTCTTCAGTGTCACATGATCCTTCTTCAGAAATCATTCTAATATGCTGATTTGGTGCTCAAGTAACATTGTTGAAATCAGTTGTGTTGCTTAATATTTTTGTGAAAACTGAAATAAAAAAAAATTCAGGATGATTTGATGAGTAGAATGCTCGAAAGAAGAGCATTTCATTCTTTGATTTCATTTCATTTATTTGAAATAGAAATCTTTTTGTAAAATATATTTGCTGTAACTTTTGATCAATTTAATGCATCTTTTCTGAATAAAACTATTATTTCTTTTTTTAAAAATCGTACTGACCACAAACTTATGAACAGTAGCGTGCTTGATTAGAACTTTAGTTGTGGTTACTTTCAACTGATATTTTCTACAGTCCAATAGATTCATCCCTCTATTAAATGTTGGAAATGAGTCCTATTTCTGTGTTTGAATCCTCAAAGCTCTCGAAACCCTCTCTTGAACAAAGGCAGCTCAACCATAATGAGTCATTTGTGTAATTTCTGTGGATTTCTTCTTTCAGGTAGAGCACAAGTATACACATTTTCCTGCTCACTCAGACTGTCAGGGACATAACATCCTTTGTTGCCATGACAGTGAGACTGGAAAGGCAATTTTTTTGTGTTCTAATGCGTTGTCTGGTTTTTTTTGAGACGTTATTGTGGGTGACCAAATGTTCTGTCTGCGTATGTAAATTCTGAAGAGAATGAAAGGCTCAGAGATTTTATAGTGTGCAGCAACAAACTCAAAATTTGTTACATTTTGTAATAAAAACTAAAATAAAAAACTTTTAAGATGCATTTGTCAATGATAATGTGTGTCTGTTTCCTTCAGTTTTTCCGTTCAGTCCAGAACACTTGCACAGAACTCCTAAAAGTGATCGAGAAATACCAGCAAAGAATCACACGTGAGTGAGGAACATGATCTTCCACCCTCTTTGTGTGCACAGACACTAAGAGTCTTGTTCAGCTTGTTTTCAAAGCCATTGCATGCAGTGGCATACATTTTCTCAGTATTCATGTGTGCTGTTACTGTTGAGTCAAAAGGCAATTATAAGCTAAACTCTATGAATGTGTTTTTGTGGTTCTAGTAATTGATAGCATTCAACATGTCCAATCAAGCCATATATTGTTACTAATACTGTTAGTAATTGTTGTTGTAATAACCCTGTTTTGCCCCCTGTGACCTCCTCTCTTCAGATCTCTCTCAAGAGGAGAATGAGCTTGGATTGTTCCTGCGCTTCCAGGCAGAGCATGATAAAACGAAAGCAGGCAATATGATGGACGCCACCAGTAAAGCCCTTTGCTGTTCCGCCAAGCAAAGGTAGGCACAAATATGAACAAATTAGGGCTTAAAATAATTAATTGGGCTCTGTTTCATGATATTTTGGTAGTTATTATGTTCATACATCATGATTTAATACAGCAGATAGGGAAAGGGCCATGATGGTTGACTAATGAACTAGCCATCCAACAACTTGACTAATGAACTAGCCATCCAACAACTTGAGATCAAACAGGGAAATCTGAAACCAGCCTTATTAGACAATCGATCAGGCAACCCACCTATTTGATATTGAAAATACGTAGTTTCTCTTCATTAATTTAACTGTTTGAAATATGATATGAATGAACACAAATAAGTCTACAAATAACATAGATAGATAATATATAGAGCATAAGATATAAATAATAAAGCGCCTGAGCAGCTATTTGTAGAATTATTTTGATCAATTTAATGCATCCTTGCTGAATAAAATTATTTATTTCCCCCACAAAACTGTGTATTATATACATATATGTAGTTCTGTGTTTAAAGAATTCTATTTCAAATACATGCTGTTCTTAAAACCTCTCTATTCATCAAATAATTCTGAAATTAATCACAGTCTCCACCAAAAATATTAAGCTGCTAAACTGTTTTCAACATTGATAATAATAATAATAATAATAATAATAATAAGAAATATTTATTGAGCACCAAATCAGCATATTATAATGATTACTGAAGGATCATGTGTCTAAAATGTAGCTTATATATTAAGAAAATAGTAAATGGTATTGATCTTCTGAAATATTATTACAATTTAAAATAACAATTTTCTAATTGAATATGTTTTACTGTATTTTTATCAAATAAATACAGCATTGGTGAGTATAAGAATGTGAGTATAATTAATACCAATTTGTGAATTTTGAATATATTAATTTATTAAATTGGACAATAATCCCAACATGGAAACTAGTGATACATTTCGGTTTCATTTTTAAATAATTATTTAATTAAGTTTCTTTGGCAGCCCTGGAAAGAACATTTCTATATTCTACAAACTAAAGACATAAAGACACAAATTAGTAAACCCACAATCTTGGATGTAACTTTTCTCCATCCTTGCATGTCACATCTACTTAACACTCATCTGTGATCATTGATTAAGCCATTTACCTGTCCTCTTGTCCTCTGTCATGCCCAGGTTGGCTCTGTGTACCCCTCTCCATCGATTCGAACAGGAAGTTGAGACATTCCGGAGGAGAGCCATCGCCGACACCCTGCTGACAGTAAGCCGGATGGAGAAAGCCCGGACCGAGTATCGCGGAGCTCTGCTCTGGATGAAGGACGTCTCACAGGAACTAGACCCAGATACTTACAAACAACTGGAGAAATTTCGCAAGGTCAGACCACGCAAAGCGAGTGTGGGAGGGATTGCATCTATATACTGAATGTGGAGGTTGAAATATTCTGCTATCTGTGTGTCTTTGTGAACAGGTTCAGGCCCAGGTAAGAGGAACAAAAGTGCATTTCGATAAGCTGAAGAATGATGTTTGTCAGAAAGTGGACATGCTGGGAGCCAGTCGTTGCAACATGCTTTCACATTCGTTATGCACTTACCAGGTAATACTTAATTTCCTTCCACCCATTTTTTCTAGTTAAACCTGTTTCACTTTTATATTGTAAATTTATTCGTCGTCTTGAATTGTTTTTCCGTAGACAACGCTTCTACACTACTGGGAGAAGACTGCACATGTGATGTCTGGCATCCATGAGGCCTTCAAAGGATATGTACCCTACCAGTTCACTACCCTCAAAGTGGGTGTCCATGCACAAATGTCAGAAAATAAACTGTTGGAATGTGTTTTAAGCCCTCATGTCTCATCACAGGAACTGAGGGACCCACTGGACCAGATTGCCTCTGCACATCCAGCAGAGGACACCAAAGATGAGGACCAGAAGACATATTCAGACAAGTGAGAACTCAGTTAGACATGGGCATGTTCCATTTTGAAGTGTTTTTAGTCATTAACCAACCATTTTGCTGATTTACAGCTTGTTCTTTATTAGGGCTGTCACTAACGATTATTTGATTATTTTGACGATTAATCGATTATTCTGGTTTTTAAATGGTTTTAATCCATCATGCAGACTTAGAAAACAGTCTAATAATGCACTTCATGGATTCTCGTCCATAAAACGCACCATTTCCATTCATTTGCTGGTTACTCGACAATGGTAAATTGCAATCAAGGATTTTTAAAATCGAGTATTTGAATTTAATCGAGAAATCATGACAGTCCTATTCTTTACATTATATTGTGTGCCATATACGTCACATGGTCAGTGAATCTCACACAGACACATCTAGCAGTCCCAGTTTTCTTTTTCATCAACGAAACATGCCTTCCCCTTGACGGCACCTCGCTTGGCTCTCATTGTCAGATCTCTCATTCACTGTCTTTCCTCATTCCCTGCAACCCTCCGTTCCCTCAGATTGGGTCTCTGCAGGCGAGAGGCCTCTTTAAAGGCTCTGGTTACTGATCTGTGAGTGGAACATTGTAGTTCTATTAGAAACCCCTGCTGCCTTTGTGAACAGGCAACCCTGCTTAAAGTTCCACTGTCATTTCCTGTTTTGGCAGTAGCAGATGATCTGCCATCTGTGTTAGACATGCTGTAGTATGATTTGTTACAACTGTTTTTAGACCAACACCGCTTCCTAGATATATCACCGTGACTCACTTTTATTTGTCAATTTCGATTTAATTTAAGGTGTTTTGTAATTCTTATCTGAAACTGTGCATGGCATTATGCATCCATTTAGTCATGCATCAGTGTGTCTATCAATTTGATTTGGTGTTTGTATGTTTATGTTTCAGTCTTGTTTCGCTTGAAGATGAACAGCTGGGTGAATCATCCGAAACTGGTATGTTCAGCTTTTAAAGATCATTCTGGGTAAACACTCAAAGGCTCATGCTTCTTAGATGCTCTTTCTTTTTATCTTTACCAGTTTCTACTCGTGCAGTAGATGGACAGAGTAGAGGGTCTGACAGTTCTTTGTGTGCCAGTCTGGACTCTGGTAAGTTTGTGTGTGTGTGTATGTTTGCGGACTAGGCTTTGCACGATAACTCATTGTTAAGAAATGACTAGTCATCCAGAAGAGTAGTCAATTATCATACTAAATGGCAAGTGCTGTTTTAGTAATTTTGGACAGTAAATTAATTTACTTATGATTTCTTATTCAAGTCCTTACAGTAGCACGCAAGAATGTAATGCATTGGAAACAGTCTGTATCTAATATCACCCAGAGTTGTTGTTTGGACATGCGCAGATATGAATGAATGTTCAGTTATGGCAGATTCTGATTAATATTGGCATATGCCAATATGCGATTTCTAGAAACTGGAATACTGTTTTAATCTGCGTAATACATATGGTGATATTCTGATTTATATCAAATTATTCTTGTGGATGTAAATAGTCCCTTTTTTTTCCTCATGTATCATACTTATGTACAGGACCATATGTGTCCTGTGAAGCTGATGTGTGTGAGAAACGAACGCTTCCATATCTTCATTATCCATTTCATACTGCTTGCTAGGGATGGGCGGTATGATCAACAATATAGTTATTTTTGCTGGAAATAATGTTGTTACTCTGCTAATTTTAGATAACATTAAACTATTTCACAATTATACAATACTAGCCTAACTAATATAAGTAAAAAGTTATGGAAGCTTACAGAAAACAGGTAAACAGTCAGTAATAAAATAAGAACAAAGAAACTAATTGCAAGCAATAGGACAAAGAAAAACAATAGAACAAAGATGAAACAAATTAAATAAACAGTGCTTTTTTGTTTTTCAGAAGTTACAGAAGTACAAAATACTACTAAATTGAATGAATGAATCAAATGTAAAATAAAACACTGCCCAGTCTACACTGTTGATTAAATATACAATGATTCTTATTAAAGCTATAAAAGTTGTTCAGTGAGTGTTACAGTTTTTTTTCACTCTTCTTGTTGTATGATAAACATTAATGACACAAACGGCAGCAGGTATATTGGGTTACTGTCACATTAAAACCTAATGCACAGATCAAATATACTGACCCACATCTGATTTCTTTCCCAACTGTTTACATTCACTTAAAACATAAACGACTGTGTTTACATGAATATTTATTTCATGACAACATGAACATTTTGACAACTCTGTGACAGGAGGCTTTTTGTGTGTATGCATAGAAAAATGGCTGGCAGAACAGCGTGCTTGTACCAAATTGAATATTCTTTTGCATATTATTGATCTTGAATCGTTTAAAATCGCTTTAAAAAATATCAAGACTTAAAGGACAAGTTCGGTATTTTACACTTAAAGCCCTGTTTTTAGATCGTTTCTGATGAAATAGAACGGTTAAGATTGAAATTTGGACACATGCTGCTGGCCCAGAGAATTTTCGGTATTTGTGGTTGCACCCCCCTCACCTCCACAATGGTTGCATAGGTGCACTCACTGCAACAATCCTTCCACTCACCGAGTGGTCTGGGGTGTTCACTGATATGCCCACACAAAAATTGCTACCAAAGATGCTTTCCAACAGGTTTTATCGTAGTTTTTGTCCAACTCAACTAAATACCGAACTTGTCCTTTAAAAGCATGACAATGCAACACTGCAACATCTTGTGAGTGTAACTGTAACAGACAATAATACAAAATTTCTTCCAGTTGTCACATTTTTCCCAGTTTATCCAGTTAATCATTCATATCTGCCAGATTATATATATATATATATATATATATATATATATATATATATATATATATATATATATATATATGAGCACATTCCTCCCTTATTTTCTTTATTGCCCTAACATGACAGTAGTACTGGCAGTACTTCCCATTGAAACCTGTGTGGATAAATTTACATACAGTGATATACTGTATATTTCAGTTGGTTGGCATTTTATATTGTCAGACCACCCAGCCCTAACTGTCGCAATGAAGAAGCAGCAACTGAAGTCATATGATCCATGACTAGTTGGCACAGACTTAAAGCATCAAATAGTGGTAGAACTAATTAACTTTGTGTCTATTCGGTGCAACTTCTAGTGTGTTTAGCAGCTTTTATTTACAGTATGTCTGTTTGTATCTCTCATGTTCACCTCCGCCCCTGTACAGCGGCCTTGAATGAACAGTTAGGCCCCATTGGTGGATCTAGCACAGATGACGACCTCCTGTTAATGACCCCTGACCCTGGCTCAGTCCCTTCTCTTACTCCAACGTTGACCCCGACCCTACACCCATCTATGTCACCTGCTATTCAGTGGGACATAGGCACCTCATATGAGGAAAAGCAAGATGCGTTACACAGCAGCTTACGACCTGAAATAGGTATAAATGCCTGACTGGGCATCTCTTCAATGCCAAGGACTCCCTTATGGCCTGTTCTAACTCTCTGAAATCAACCTCCTTCGAAAGGGCTTTAACACCCTGATCTATAAGTCTTAGGTTCTATAAGAAATATTCATAAACTGTTCATGCTTATGGCTCTTTCAGATTCTCTTCTGAAAGGTAAACACTCTTCTGGGGTTTCTGACCCTGTCTCCATTAACACATCAGTGGTCTTTCTTTTCTTGTAAAAGCATTTCTAAAAACTGTACTTTCTTCAAGGTGCTTTATTTTTCCATTCTTTTTGTGGTCTGTGTGATTTCAATGCACTCTTAGAGGATTCTAGGATTTCTTTTTCATATTTAACTTAGATTTACTTTTGCTTTTTGTTGCTGATGAACTAATATTTCTGTTAATATTTATGCTGTTATGTTTAAATTATTGCCATGTTTCTTGAAGCTTTCCTTAAGCTTCTTATCTTTTTTGCTGCATGAATTTTTTTCCTCTGTGTTTTTGTCTTGTCTTCCTGTACAAATATCTAAACATTCTAAAACCAAGATACATTTACTTATATACAGTGTATATATATATATATATATATATATATATATATATATATACACTCACCGGCCACTTTATTAGGTACCCCATGCTAGTAACGGGTTGGACCCCCTTTTGCCTTCAGAACTGCCTCAATTCTTCGTGGCATAGATTCAACAAGGTGCTGGAAGCATTCCTCAGGGAGTTTGGTCCATATTGACATGATGGCATCACACAGTTGCCGCAGATTTGTCGGCTGCACATCCATGATGCGAATCTCCCGTTCCACCACATCCCAAAGATGCTCTATTGGGTTGAGATCTGGTGACTGTGGAGGCCATTTTAGTACAGTGAACTCATTGTCATGTTCAAGAAACCAATTTGAAATGATTAGAGCTTTGTGACATGGTGGAAGTAGCCATCAGAGGATGGGTACATGGTGGCCATAAAGGGATGGACATGGTCAGAAACAATGCTCAGGTAGGCCGTGGCATTTAAACGATGCCCAATTGGCACTAAGGGGCCTAAAGTGTGCCAGGAAAACATCCCCCACACCATTACACCACCACCACCAGCCTGCACAGTGGTAACAAGGCATGATGGTTCCATGTTCTCATTCTGTTTACGCCAAATTCTGACTCTAACATCTGAATGTCTCAACAGAAATCGAGACTCATCAGCCCAGGCAACATTTTTCCAGTCTTCAACTGTTCAATTTTGGTGAGCTCTTGCAAATTGTAGCCTCTTTTTCCTATTTGTAGTGGAGATGAGTGGTACCCGGTGGAGTCTTCTGCTGTTGTAGCCCATCCGCCTCAAGGTTGTGCGTGTTGTGGCTTCACAAATGCTTTGCTGCATACCTCGGTTGTAACGAGTGGTTATTTCAGTCACTGTTGCCCTTCTATCAGCTCGAACCAGTCTGGCCATTCTCCTCTGACCTCTGGCATCAACAAGGCATTTCCGCCCACAGAACTGCCGCTCACTGGATGTTTTTTCTTTTTCGGACCATTCTCTGTAAACCCTAGAGATGGTTGTGCGTGAAAATCCCAGTAGATTAGCAGTTTCTGAAATACTCAGACCAGCCCTTCTGGCACCAACAATCATGCCACGTTCAAAGTCACTCAAATCAACTTTCTTCCCCATACTGATGCTCGGTTTGAACTGCAGGAGATTGTCTTGACCATGTCTACATGCCTAAATGCACTGAGTTGCCGCCATGTGATTGGCTGCTTAGAAATTAAGTGTTAACGAGCAGTTGGACAGGTGTACCTAATAAAGTGGCCGGTGAGTGTATATATATATATATATATATACACAGTATATTTATTTATTTTTTTGATACATTTTTCAGAAAACAAGACTATCTTATGTCCTCAAATAAATGTTTCTTGATTTAACCCTGTAAAGCCTGACATTTGAAATAATAATCAGAAAAATAGATTTTTGAAATTGAGCAGTTTATTGAACCTTTATACATAATATAATATATTTAATAATATTTGATACACCAGGCCTTTATGGGTCATATAGTTTATTATAGGAGAATATGGAGCTCATATGCATTAAGGAAAAAAAACACCTCAGTTTAATTCAGAGGACCAAACCTAGCAAAAATATGCAATTTGGTGCAGTTGCTAATATTTATATGGCCAAAAGAAAGATGAAATTCTGAGAGCTTGTCATGTAAATTAATACGTTAACAGTATCTTATTTAGATCTTTATTACAGTATAGCAGACTACTTGTATAAAATGCATATAAATTTCTTTCGTCACTCTTTATCTCCCAATAGTGTCTTAGTTAAATTAATTTAAATGCTTTGTTTTATGATGAATGCACTGAAGTTTTTATTGTGGTGTGGCGGTATTGCATTTTAAACTTATAAACATACAATGCAATACAATGAAAATTGAGAGAAGTACAAATAAACGTTCCTCAAAGGCCTGATTTATCATATACGATAAATTGATACAACATGATTTTTCTAACAAATTATATATGTATAATCATGTAAACCTAAGTTGCTTCAATCTAGTTAGTGTTCATCTTGAAATATTACAAACAATATAAAAATCATTCTTACATTTACTTTATAAAAATCAGTAAAGATTTCACACCAAAAAGATTTGCTCTCTCGATTGCCCAAGACACATTTCTCCTAAGAAAGACAATAAAGGAAAAACAAAACTAAACAATAAGACGACAGAAGGCATGAAGTAGATTGTGTACAACAGGCATTTTAGCAAAGTTTTGATCAGGTCGATAATTTAGAGGCCCTATTGTGTGTTGTTTGTGTATCAAAATCGATACAGTAGGCTTTATAGGGTTAAGAATGTTGAGATATTTGTGCTGGAAAACAAGACAAAAGTGCTGAGAAAGCAATTCCGTTTTTGCAGTTTAAAAGCCTCATTATCTTCTTTTTATTGGAGTAGGCAGGGATCTTCTGTCTGAGGCTTTCCAGTCTGTCGAAGGGAAAGAAGAGGAGGGAGAGCGAGGGGAACTGGCATTCCTGCAGGATCTGCTGAGTCCTGGGGCTGCAGGTGGCGCTAGTGAGTTCAGTAAAGCGTGGCAGGATGCTTTCGGCTGTTTTGAGGCCCCTCCTGCTCCTCCTGCTGCCGCCACACTGCAAGCAGAAACGGCAAACACACACGCTGGCTTCCTGCCATCACATCTCCTGGACCATAGCCTCAGCACCACAGGTTTGACAAATCATTTAGTTTGCCCTCTAGTGGCTGGAGGAATGAACGTACATTCTTGTTGTGCTTTTAGTATGCAGTGCTGTCAGTGTGATGTCTTGCTGATCACTCATATTCATTCTCTTTCTGTTATTCAGGATGGGCGACTCCACCTATGTTTCAAGCCCCACCCCTCCAACCACCTTCTAGTGGAGGACAGTCTCAGCCTACACAGAACACTCCAAACTCTTCTGCCAGTGGTGAGAGTTTTATGACATGTCAAGAACTATAGATGGACACTGACAATCTTTCTGTAGTGATTCCTCTCTCTGTGTCTTTTAGCACCCAAAGGAAGCTCCAGGGACATGTCTGCCTGGTTTAACCTCTTTGCAGATCTTGACCCTCTGTCCAACCCAGACGCTATTGGACGCAGTGATCAGGAGTTTCTCAGTGCCTGAGTAGTGTTGGTGTGAGTGTGTATATATTTATCAATGACAAAAAGGCTCCAGGTTTATAGAAACGTTCTCTCTTTATTCATGTTAGTTTTGGTGTAGTTATCTAAAACTAGAGGCTAACGTTTTTGTTAATTGAAATGCATACGAAATATGATATGATTATTAGATGAAAAACATAAAGTGCTTTATAGAAAATTAAAAAAATGTTGCCTTGGCAACTTACTAAAATAAATACATTTAAGAACTAAAATTAATAAAACTATCACTGAAATAAAATTAAAGCTAAATAGAAATAAAAAAAACAAAATAAACTAAAATGACAAAAGAACAACAAAATGACTAAAACTTAAAAATAAAAGTGAATTCAAAATATGAATAAGTACTATAATAGTATATGAATAATACTAAAATAACATTGGGTTTGAAAACATTTATGATTTTCAAAAAAGTTCAACACTCTAAAAATGTCATGCGGTGCAACCATTAAGAAAGAAGTGTGAGTAAACATCTTAATTAAAGTCAAATTATTTTTTTTGCAATTATCATGAATTATTCATTAATTAATATCATTGTTTGAACTCATCTTGCCTTGTAATAAAAAGATCTGATATTTTAAGAGACTTATTAACCCTAACACACTGAGGGTCTTCCTGTTTTGCTTTGTTTTTGGCTGAAACTACAAGACTTTGATTTGACACACACATTTTTAAAAAATATTTTTTACTTTTTGAACATTAGGTTGACTGTAAGTAACTTTGCAACTACATTTCAACTAACTCTCATTAGAGTATTAGTAGACTGTCTCCTTAATATCTGCTGACTCTTTATTGCGATGGTGCTCCTACTGACGTTCTACTACTCTAACCCTACCAGTCTAATACTCTACTAACACTCCAATGAGAGTTAGTAGACATGTTGGTGCAGCGTTACTTGTGTTAAAGGGACCATCAAAAAAATAGTGAAACCATGATTTGTATTTTGAATGCATTTCGAATATTAAATCTATTTATGTGTCAATTCATATGCCGCTCCATGTTTCGGATGTGATCTTGTATTGCAAAGGGGAGATTGTGCATGTCATAATGCTGTCTCTTACCTCTCTCAGTGAAGGAATGTTATAGAGCTGGATCTCATCCCAAACATTCTTTGTCCCTTAGAATGGTGGAAAGCAGGGCATATCCCAAGCCTTTATTTGGAGCTGGAACACTACCTCTCCTGAAACGATTCAACCTGAGCCAAGGAAGCGTCAAGAAATCTGAATCCATATTCCACACTGGAAGATTTCCGAGTTATGGGAATGTCTCTTTCCTCCTTTCTTTCATTGTGTGTGTGTGAATTTACTGTATGTACATTAGGACACCGAAGGGTAAAATGAAGACTTCATTGCTATATCACTAAAATGTTGTTACTAAATGAAGTGCACATGTTTAAAGGGACAAGAAAGTCAGGATTTGCCCATCTCTTATGTGGAGGGCTGGTTTGTATAGGACCAAAAACCTAAATAAGTGTGTGTATACTACATATCTGTTTGCTTTGTACAATAGAGGAGTTTTTAATGTCCAGAAACAGGGTTACAGATTTATAACATCTATTAAAGACTGTATTTTTAATCAAGACAGATACCCAAAGTCGGTGAAGTTACGCATAAATCACTAAAAAAAATATTTTTGAAGTCACAATCACTGGATTAGTTTAACCCTAACTGATAAAATAAATGAAATTATTTATTAATACAAAAAAAGTGTTACTGTAAACTACATATGCAAGTGGTGTGCTGTGCCATTAGTTTGGTAAGAATGACAAGGTCACATTTCAGTGGAACTAATAATAGGTGATGCATTCTTGTTTTCAGTGACAAATGCTGAAACACTCTCTCCCAAATTTTCTTCACATTCACACAGATGCAAAACACAATGTGTGTTTGTGAACATTTTTTTTTTTTAAATGTATTTTTAGTTTGTATGTCACCTTTAGCACAGAATTACGTAACTATCCTACTCTAGAAAACATACACATTTCATTTTATCCCAGATTATCATATTTGGACTCATCAGAAGTGAGTTTATCTGAAACTATTACCAGTCTGTTTTATTTGCGTTAAAGAAATCAAGTGAATGCTTGCACTAAACTGTCTCCGAGTGCAATCTCGGGTAGTTCTGGAAAGTATGTTGTATGTTTTAAGTATAGACTTGTTTGTTGATCTGAATAGTTTGTGTAGGTGGAGAATCTGAACAATTCTCACAGGATATCACTCCATATGTACTGGAGCACATGTTTCTGTTTTGAGTGCAGTTGAACATTTTGAAGTGTCACTTTCTGTATATGAGAAATTGTGTTTGGAACTATATGTTGAGACATGTTTACTTTGAAAGAAAAAGAATGTAGGCTACACCATTCACAGCTACTTTCATCTGTTTATTTTATGCAATTTTGCCTTTTGTTTCAGTTAAAAATAATGTACTTGTACAATTTCATTGATGGAAACTGGAATGGGAGATCTTGCATCTGAGAGCAAATAAATTTGAGTAGAATGGTTTCAGATTTTTTCTCAATTTTTTTGAACTTGTATGTTGGCAAAAGTCCGTTTTTTTGTGTGTCAAAGGTACACTATAAAAAACAAAACGTTTTTTTTGTTTTTTTTTAATTGACGAAAATTAAAGAGTGCACACATCAGTGATGCTTCTTTCAAAACATGTTTTTTTTACAAACCCTGATTTACTATGGTAAGCCTATTATAATTAATTGTTTATATTTTAAACCTATCGGGATGGTTTTCGCGGGAAATCATACCAATATGTCACTTAATTGCCCGTGCAGGTCTCGTCATATCTGTAAATAGCGAAAAGTTGCTCTGGCTACTTTGATGCCTGTTTTGTGTGGGAGTGGGATTGGTTAGTTGTCTTGTCACAACGAGCAAGTAAGGTTGAAATGGAGCCGAACAGAGGAGACTCCTGGGGCCTGTACCATGAAGCCGGTTTAGGTGGCTAGCCAGCTATGTTTCAGCTTAGTTTCCGCCAACCCTGGGTTTTAGGTACTATGAAAGTAGCTCGGCTTTAATCGGTGTTCGTTGCCATGGTACCTTACGCTGCACGGCTAACCTGCTCCAGGGCAGGTTAAGTTCTGGATTCGAGATCTCAGACTGAAGTTTGACCAATCAGCTGTGAGCAAAGAAACATATAGGTGACGTAACTAATTCCCAGTGTTTGTTGCAATGGCTTTACATTTTCTTTCAAATCCTGTGGACATCTCAGCGCAAATTGTTAGACGAGCACATCGTAGAGAAAGAGTTTTTAGCCGGACAAAATCCCCTTGCCTTTCCTGATAGTGTATGAAAGATACAGATTTTCTGCGGAAGGAATATCTTATCTTTGCGAACTTCTTGAGCCGCACATAAATAATTTAACACATCGAATTCATGCACTTACTGTACCATAAATGGTATTGCGTTGCGTTTTTTTGCAAGTGGTAGCCTACATACTTGCACGATCGGTGATGCACAGAATCTAGGGGAAAACACGGTTTGTCGAACCATTCGCAAGGTGGTCCTCGCTTTGCAGGAGTACATTAATAGTTTAATAGTGTTCCCCAGACATTTATTGACCATGTCATAAGAGAGGGTTTTTATAAAATTGCCGGTAAAATATATTGATAGGGTGACATCACGTTTTTTTTTTCTTTCAAAAAGCAAATTTCACAAATGTACTATATAATACAGTACATGTTAAGCATTATTTTAATCTCATGATAGGATTCCCTATAGAGTCATTGGAGCAATAGCCTGCAAATATGTTGCAATCTCCACTTCTGTAGGAGAACATGAGGCAGATTATGTTAATAGAAAGTCTTTTCACAGCCTTAATGTTCAGGTAGAGATTATGTGAACATGTGAAATTATTATTTTCTGTGAGATGAATCTTTGAATTAATAGTAAAATGAACAGATAACAATCTACTTTCCGTGAGTATGTTGTGTCAGCGCTTTGAGGAAAGCTAGTTAAATTTGGTACAGTACAAAACACTGTTAATTTGAATTGGGACAGCAAAACCTACACAATAACCCCCTATCATGACCCTCATGTGTCAGTAAAACTATAGTAAAAGTTAGAGATGATCTTTGGCATCCTAAAGGCACGTTTCAACTGTCTTCGGCGCTTAAGAGTCACCACAGTGGGCATCACAGATAGTGTCTGCATGTGCCATTCTGCACAATATAGCCACCATAGAAAGGAGCCAGAACACCACAGAAAGCTTCTCCCCGATGAAACTGACCCGAACACACTTGACCACCCAGCTGGTGCAAATGTAGTTGCAATCACCATACAATATTACACTTAATAAAAGCACATTGAAACTGCAGATAGGTCTCAAACTGTTTTATGGTTTTGTGGGATGGGGGGGGGAGAAAGAAAGCAATAGAAAGTTGCATTGATAAATATTCAAGCTAAAGTGTTACTTGGTTAAATAAGTTCACATGCTGAGATCAGTTTAATCTAGCTGTTGCATTTATTTTTTAAATGTGAGCCTCCTCAGCTCACAGTCAGGCTCCTTTAGTGTGCAGTCTAGCTCTATAGGCTCCTTTAGTGTGCAGTCTAGCTCTATAGGCTCCTTTAGTGTGCAGTCTAGCTCCATAGGCTCCTTTAGTGTGCAGTCTAGCTCTATAGGCTCCTTTAGTGTGCAGTCTAGCTCTATAGGCTCCTTTAGTGTGCAGTCTAGCTCCATAGGCTCCTTTAGTGTGCAGTCTAGCTCTATAGGCTCCTTTAGTGTGCAGTCTAGCTCTATAGGCTCCTTTAGTGTGCAGTCTAGCTCCATAGGCTCCTTTTGTAAAGGGCCCTGACTGAGTCTGTTTCCACCTGAAACATAATTCCACCACAAACATGATCATTACAAGTTTTTGGGAGGCTAATCAACTCACAAAAAGTTCCTTGAAAGTTCCTTGACAAACACCTGATATATATGTCAAGGGTTTTAAATCCTTACCTTGTTCACATTTCTTTTGAAGCCTGTTGAGGTAGAGGCTTCAGTTTCTGGGACAGGTTGTGAAAAATCCTACAATAAAAGAGATGTGTAACTTGGGCCAGTCCCTGTTTTATGCCACACATTCAAATGTTTGCCTTAAAGGGATACTCCACCAGTTTTTCTTATTAAACTATGTTATTCCCTTAACTAAGACGAGTTGATACATACCTCTCTCGTCTCAGTGCGTGCACTATATCGCTCTGTATTGCCGCAAAACTATGTTAGCACTTAGCTTAGCCCATGCATTAAATATGGGCCAAGCAGAGAAGCGACCAAACACTTCCACGTTTTCCCTATGTAAACACAGTTACTCGAGTAGTGTAACTTGACCTGGGCTGGTGACACAAAATAAACCGTTGCGCTTTTCTAAGCGTTTAAAATTGATGACTATATTGTATGGCGGAATACCATAACAAGTGCTTTTGAGCAGTTCGACTTGGCGCAATAATATCTTCACTAGTGAAAAGTCCTCTTACCGGCTCCCGCTTCCTCTCCCCCTCCCTCTGACATTTCCGTCAATACAACCAACGTGGCTTTTACTACCTGTGCTATTAGCAAACTGCAGATCATTTGCAATGGCGGACTTTGTAGATGATTATGACTTCTTTGTAGAAGACCCAGAGCCATATCTGTTTGAACCCGAGTACACGGAGGAGGAATTAGCTCTTATGGACCGTGAGAGGAAAGAAAGATATGATCCAGAACAGACCGGAGCTGGCGAAAGACCACGGGCAAACAGCAATTGGTGGTGCAAGTGTGACTGTTGCGAACAGATGCCGACCGAAATTGAGAGCCTGTGCTGTTTAGAATGCTAACTAGCTTCCAACAACCTGTTACTTCGTCAACTCCGCTCGAACTACTACTACCGGCGCATGTCACGTTGGTTGTATTGACGGAAATGTCAGAGGGAGGGGGAGAGGAAGCGGGAGCCGGTAAGAGGACTTTTCACTAGTGAAGATATTATTGCGCCAAGTCGAACTGCTCAAAAGCACTTGTTATGGTATTCCGCCATACAATATAGTCATCAATTTTAAACGCTTAGAAAAGCGCAACGGTTTATTTTGTGTCACCAGCCCAGGTCAAGTTACACTACTCGAGTAACTGTGTTTACATAGGGAAAACGTGGAAGTGTTTGGTCGCTTCTCTGCTTGGCCCATATTTAATGCATGGGCTAAGCTAAGTGCTAACATAGTTTTGCGGCAATACAGAGCGATATAGTGCACGCACTGAGACGAGAGAGGTATGTATCAACTCGTCTTAGTTAAGGGAATAACATAGTTTAATAAGAAAAACTGGTGGAGTATCCCTTTAATAAAAAGCCCAGTGCATTCACCTCAGCAACTGTCCCAGAACACAGACAGAGTGTCTTCATCATTTCCTCCTCCCTGATAAATAAAAGTAGGCCAATATGTTTCTGGTGTTCTGTCTGCTGCATACTGACCTCTGTGTGGGAGACTGTGTGTGTGTGCTGGCTTCAACAGGGACACTGCATTTCCCTCTACTGCAGAACATACAGTCAGCCATATTTAAAACTTAAAATAGTAATGTATCGCACACGTACCCAGTGTTACTTGCTTCGAGGAGCCGGCACCAGGGTCAGATTGTACAGCACCTGTAATCCCATCCATAATCGGCCGTCCCTTATTCCTATCAGAGCCAACTCAGTGTATTCTGGAGGAGTGGCCCTCCACTGGTTTTCTGAATGTCACTCTTTTTTCGGTTTGCCTCAAACAAGTGTTAATAAAAAAATAATAAAAGGTTGTGTGTAAATACTTACTAGGCTACTTTGAATTATATTTTTATATTTTGTCTTTATCAGCTGCCAAGAACGTTTGGAGTTGCATCTAAAAATCAATGAATTAATCTTTATTAGTATATACATGCACATTTTTTTATATATTATAAAAATATAGGCTATATTTCACACACACATACATTCATAGCCTATATATACATAATTTTACATGAATAAAGAACGTATTTATTTAGCTTACACATTAACACAATCAGCAATCTTTCTCCAACAGTCTTCTCTTGCTTTGGCAGCAGAGACCGTATTGTTTCGAGCTTGTAATACATATTTAAATTCATCGTAATTCTGAATGATTATCTCTTACCTCCGCGGAAAGAAAATATCGCTCTCTCTCTATCCATATCGAACGCGATTGGTTGTTCGGTGCCAACGTCACTTTGGTATGTGCACGCGCTTGTGGAGTAATCATAGTTTAAGATCAAAGCCTGAGTTGACAGAGAAAGTTGATGAGCTGCTTCATGGTACCAATAAAGCCTGATTGCATCGGTTTGGTTTTGTCAACTCAAAACTAATCCTGTAACTCCGAGTTTGTTCAGCTACCTTCATGGTACAGGCCCCTGGCAAATATAGAACAGAGCCTATACGAAAACAATTATACATTGGCTTCAGAGATGGTGAGAACTGAGGGGTTTGAATGTTGTAAAAGCGACGCAGAGATGGCGTTTTTATTATGAATTCAACAGGTGAGTAAGATATTTTATTAAACAGAGAATTTTCCAAATGTAGCTCTATGACAGAGTTCATTGTAAAGCATTATCTATGGTGAAGGGTCATTTCTGTGCTGGAATTTTTTTTTTAAAGGAAGTGGGACTACATACAGTATGGGTAGCCTATAGCCACAGTCAGCTTGAGATCCTGTCCAAATAAACTGATTATATCTCTTTAGCCTAGTAGCGAATGTTTTATGAGCAGTGGGATAGCCAAATTCATCTGCAGAGTCACGCACAACCAAAACAGTGTTGTTCGGCAAAATGCATCCATGCAGTTTTTTTTTTTAAACCAATAGAGGGCCAAATGTTAGTGTACCTTTAACAAACCAGAGTTACAACGATCTTGAAGTTTATTCACAGAAGAAAAGAATCTGGCAATAACTAAAACAAATGGAATAACAGGCACCTGTCTAATTTACACACTTCCCTATTTCAATTCAGTATTAAGGCAATTACATACATACATTACATTTTGTTCAGGATTGCCTGTAGTCTTTCATCAACTTTTTTTGGAAGAAAGGAAGATTTACTGTATGAATAATGGAATATTTCACAGTATAAAGTTGCTACAGTTCAAATCATTATATTTTCAGATCACTATTAGCTAAAGCCATGCCTTTCTTTAAAATTGTTCGCATCTCTTTTCTCTTGCTGTTTCATGACAAGTCTTTCATATCTAATGCAATCCATTTTCCTTCACTGTATTGAAATTACAGCAATGGCACCTTTCAGTTGAACTAATGTTTAAATTTAACAACAGAACTCATAATCATAATACTGTCCTGTACATTTGATCGATGTCTCCACCTAATGCGTGTCAGACTGTTCATGTACCAACAAAACCTCCTCTCACCAGCTAATCACATTAAGCACATACAGGTTTACATATATGGGGAAGGGCTCTATACATTTAAGGGGCCGAGACGAATGCAGTGTCAGACGATGATAGAAAAAGGACTGTAAGCAAACAGGGTCCTATGGACAGGTGGTGGGAGTCAGGCACATTTTTTAGTCCTCCTCAAATCTGCTACAACATTTCTGGTTGTTTTTCCAGCACAATTTAAACTGCATGTAAACTATAAGCAAGCAAAACTGTGACCTAAAACCTACATTTCCTCAGTAAATCAAATCACTTACTACATTTACACTACAGATCAAACGTTGGGAGTAATTCATATTTTTTAATGTTTTTGAAAGACGTCTCTTATGCTCACCAAAGCTGCATTTATTTGATAAAAACAGTAAAAATGGCAATATTGTGAAATATCATTACAATTGAACAGTTATTTTAGCCTTTATTTATTCCTGTGATGGAAAAGACTTTCTTTCTTTTTTTAAACTTATCCCAAACATTTGAATGGGAGTGTATTACAATTTCCACAAAACTATTAAGCAGAACTGGTTCCAACATCGATAATAATAAGAATGTTTCTTGAGCACCAAATCAGCATATGAGACTGATTTCTGAACGATCATGTGACACTGAAAACTGCTAGTAATGATGCTAAAATTTCAGCATTGCCATCACAGTAATAAATTACATTTTAAAATGTATTCAAATAGAAAATAGTTCTTTTAAATTATAATAATATTTTTTCGTACTGTATTTTTAATCAAATAAATGCAGCATAAGAGATCTTTCAAAAACATTAAAAATGATTCCAGACTCTTGTGTAGGTTAAAGGATGCAGCTATACATAAGAAAATTCAAAGGCTTCATGGTAAAATGCAATAAATCGTTGAGAAAGTAAAAAGAAGTGCAATGCTAAAAAATGCTTCTGTACACCATATTGAAAACATCCCTTTGATCCTCCATTTGACATAATACCATTACCCTTAAATAACAAAAAAAAAAAAAAAACTCTTCAAGTTTCAAACTGATATCTCTCGAAGTTGTTCAGAACATGTTCTTAAATAAAATCTTAACAAAGCTCTGACTCTATCAGACAATACAGGAGTGTGGGAAAATGACATCTCTGTTCATCAGCTGAGGTTCCTTCGTTTCCGTTTTAACCCTCTGGCTCCTCAAGGTGTCGTGGGAGACATGGTGACTGACGTCCACGGGACAGGACGGAACCCATGGAGGGGGACAAGCTCCTAACCCCAACCCCACCCAGAGGCACCAAGGAGGGCGAGATACTACGGTATCCCACCCCGCTACGGAAGTTCAGCTCCTGGGTGGGTAGCAAAGGCTTTAAGATGCTCACCAGACAGAAAGCAGATCCGCTTTTGGGAATGAAGTTCACCTTTTTTCTGTCTGGGCAGAGATATGGAGGAATATCTTGGAGAGGCCTTGGCCTGGAACAGAAGACGCAAAAGTAGGTCATGGCTGTTTTGTGGAAATGTATCTTTCATACTGATAAGAAGTTAAACCCCTCACTATGAAAGCATTACTACAAAACAACCAAGTCTTGACACTTTACCATTTTATCCTACATTTAAAGGTGCAGTAAGTGATTTCTGTTCAACGCTGTTGAAAGTGGATCAGACCGAGCACTACAACACACTTGTAGCCAATCAGCAGTTGGGGGTGTGTCCACTTATGAGGGGGGAGGAGAGAGTGAGATTTGAAGAAAGACTGTAGAAAGAGAAATGGCTGAGAGACATTACAAAAGAGAAAAGGTCAGAGGAAAATCACTGGAAAAAGAAGGGTTATGATCAGGCAAGAGCTTTAGGACCCACGGTTTTATTAGAAAAGCCTTCCCGCGCTGGAGAGACAGAAGCGGGAAGGTCTGAAAATGGACGCAGAGGTTGCGTAATTTCTGCTCCATACGTGAGTAACATTGGTTTAGCCATGTTTCACAGAACCCAGATATCCTGTTGTTGTAATGTTAGATATAGTAACAGGACAGTTTTGAGGGTCATTGTTTGTCTGGAGCTGGTGTGATGCTGCCGACTAACAACCAACTCTTGTATATACTCTTGTGTACTAAATGTTCATTTTTTGTTCTAACTTGTCGTTCGTTCGTCATTTTCGCATTATTTTCCGCAAAGCATTTTTTTTGTTGCTTCGCTTCTGCTGTGATAAAGAGACATCCACTCTTGCATTGTGTGTTTGTGCATTTTGGGGTGGAGTAATGAAGGGAGGGGTGTGTTTGTTTGGGTTGATTTCAAATATAAACAATGTTTCTCAGAAATCGCTTACTGCACCTTTAAAATCATGCAGTGAGTTATTTTTCATTATTAACTGATAAAAAATGAAATGTTCCATAAAATTGTAAAACACAGGAAGCAATATAGTTTGAGGCTTTCTAGTAATAAATAGAACTACTTCCAATAAATTGTTATTTATAAGTAAGTAATACTTTGGTAAACCATAATTATGACATAAAACAAATCTTAATTATGACATAAATGATGAAATAAAAAGTCAACTATGAGATAAAAAGTATGTCATAATTAATACTTTTTTGTAAATGTTGACCTTTTGTCATACCTATGACCTATAATTATGATTTACCAAAGCATGATATTTTTTTCACAGGGCTTCTATAATTTTGAGGATCACGATTAAACAAATATTTGTCTTTAATTTATGGGAAATTTTGATCAATGCCTGCAAACATTTGATTACAAACAAGATAGTCTCTAATAATTGACATCTTAATTTAGGCTAAATCTGCAACCCTGTTACCTAATTGTATAAAATATAATTTATTTCTAATTACTATTTCTTTTAATTTAAATATTTTTTTCATTGTTTTTTTTATTTTTATTTTATTGCACAGATTTTTTAACTGTATTCAGACAAATTTTGGTTATTGCAGACATTTAAAATAAATAAAAAATAAAACAGCTCATAGTATTGTTCTGAAAATAAAGCACCATCCTCAACTGACTGTTCAATATCTTACACCAACAGACAGTAACTCACTGGTTTTCTTCAAAAGCTTTAATTTTCTCGCAGCCCTCCGGAGGCTCACGTTTGAACATATAGCTGTTGTTGGGCTTTGGAGATGAAGCATATTTGGGCAGAGGAGACCAAGGTCCCAGGTCTAAGACAGGCAAAAGGAATGTTAATATCAAATAGTTTGATTTTAGCTTATTGTGTGGTGATGATGATGCCTGTGCTTCTCACCTCTTTCTTTGCTCTCATTGAGCGTGTCATCGAGTGGGCTGTTTCCGACCGTGTCGTTGAGGATGCTGAGGTACGAGGGTGAGACTGAGTCAGCTCGGCTGCTGCTGTTGCTACGGTTACTGCCCAGCCCACCGTTCGAGGGCGTCTGTGTGTCAATACTGCGTGTGCTGCTGCTGCGCTGGGGGAGGGGAGGGGGCGCGCGGTGCCCATCAGGAACATCCTGTGGCTAAAACACACACATTTGCTTAAGTAAGTAGGATGTGTAGGACAAAAGCAATTTCTACTAATTGGATTCCACCAAACATATCATTAGTATTGATTCGGCCCTGATAAGCCATGTTACAGCCCCTAAAGCACAAAATAGGGCTGAACGATATTGGAAAGAATTGACATTGCAATCTTTTTTTTTCTGCTATGTATTGCGATATAAAAAACCCCCAGGAATTTTCAACAGATGACTTGAATAGCTACTGTATATTTGGAAAGAATGAACCATTCTAGAGTGAGTGGGGTAATTTTGTTGAGGTTCGTCTGCATAGAATTTAAAATAATTAGAAAAAAGTGGAAAAATTACTTTTCTCTGAAGACTTTTTTTAATCGCAAAATTCTTTAGGAAAACCTTCACTGTAATAAAAAATATTTTTAAATAAAGATTTTTGGAGTACATTTGACAAATTTCAGTCTTTCTACATCAAAATTTCACTTTTAATTCAGTCTGTTACTTGTCGTTTCTTTGTAACTGTTTGCGAAATTTACTAGCATTTCTGAGAGAAAATTGTTTCAAAAGTAAATCATGTTTTCTACAAATCTCAATTATTATAAAACTATCCCACTGTTTTTTACCTATTCAATATGACTGTAAAATAATTGTATTATTAAATACAAATATTAAACAAAATAAGAAATATATTGTAATAACCATTATACTGTAAAATAAAAAAATGAATAATACAAATAATTTTACTTTACTGTAAAATTATAACACCAATATTTACATATTAATTTCTTCATTTTTCAAACGGCGACCCATCAAGCTTTTATTTTAAAATAACCGGTAGTGCATATATATTTATTTCATTAAATCACAGTTTGCACTATTTGACAATCACACTTATAGTTATATCGCAATATGCAGCTCTACCACAAAAAATAAGTCAAAACCAATCTTGCACAACATAATACTGGCGGTATTATTGAGATGCACTCACTATTATGATCTCATCTCGTTCCACAGTGTCCCGTATGATGATGCGTTCAATCTCCTGGTTGAGCCCCTCTATGCTGTTTCGAAATCTTGGAGGTGTGGACTTGGAGATGGGGATGGGAATCAGGATGGTTTTAGGCATCTGAGACTGAGGAAAAAAGGTACAACACTTCTTTAGAAATGCGTGTATGGGTCTAAGTATGTCTCAAGTACACAAACATTCCCCTGTAGGGGAAACCAGCCTTCTGTGTAATCCTGTTAGAACGACACCCACACACAGTGAGCCCACACATACACAATCTCTGCAGTCTCTCCACTGCCAAAAATCAAACATTCTGCCAGACTAAGCTCCATCATTATACACAAACCACTGACTACAGAGAACACTACCATTGAGAACCCATTACTGCTCAGCTAGAGGGCACTTCTTTTGAGTAGGGTGTGATGTAAGCGCTCTTTCCCAATCTTTTCTTCATGCTCTCATGATCTTCTCTGTTTATGGTTTTGGATAGCCAAACTTTTCCTTTCCTTTCCTTTCCTTTCCTTTCCTTTCCTTTCCTTTCCTTTCCTTTCCTTTCCTTTCCCAAGAGAATCCTCTTTGTTTTTTAGATGTATTGACACAATCTCTCCTGTCCTTAAAACACTAAAGATGTTGAGAGGAATATTCCAGGTTCAGTACAAGTTCAATTTGTGGCATAATTTGTGGCATTAATTACCACAAAAATCAATTTAAAAAGAAAGCCAAAATCTACAATGGAACAGAAGGCAGGCAATCTGTAAACATTAAAACACTCGCTGTTTCAACAGTTTGGTCTCAAGACATAAACAATATGCATGCTCACCTGATTTTTAGTGTGAAATATTGCTCTCTAACCTTTTCTTTCTAAGTTGTTGTGTTACATTTTACAACATCATTGCCATGACAACATACAGTAATGCCTAAAAACGGCCACTTCCAAAATGACTTTTACAATTTGCAATTTTACAATTACAACAGAACAATTTATTGAAGGTCACATTAGTGAAATTTGCACCGGCAAAAAGGACAATTGTCCACTGCGAGTCATTTTCAGACAAAACAACGCTGCAAATTTGCATAACTTCAACCCGATGTGAAATCAGTGTGGAGAAATGTTTCTTAAGATTTCCATTTCCAGATCCCTAGCAAAACTGGATTTCGTCCACAAAATTAATGGTTAATGTGACCACACCTTTTGTATCCTCCAAAAATGGCAACATCCACATAAATTGTAAGTGCCTCACTGTAACCTTGAAATTATACTTGTGGTAATCAACATTTTCTAGCCACAGATGCTGTTGACTGAGCCTACCTTGTACTAAACCTGGAATATTCCTTCAAGTGAACAAATAAACCCAGTGCCCTCTACTCAGGGGGCTCATTTGCATGCTAGGTTGCTGTATTCTGCTGAGGTGTCAAGTATAATTAATTAAACAAAAGTGCTTTAAAAATGCACAGACATAGAAACACAATGTGTTGACTTATAGGTCCAAAGGCTGTCCTGATGACGGCAGGCAGTGAGAGAAGACTTAATCTACACTAAAACAAGCCACGTTCCTTTGGGACAATCCTGTCCCCCAGTCTCCAAGGGGCCAGAGAAGCCTCAAAAATGGGACAAATATGCAGGAAAGTGGGGCGCGCTTAAATTCTCCAGATGTTTGGCCTACTTCAATTCTTCAGCGTGTACCAGCTCAGGTTATGGTGGTACTCTTACTGACATCCAAGAGCACCCTGTTATTCGCACACAAGCACAAATGGTGGCTGCTGGGATGCGATGATGCCCACCTGTGACTGGATGATAGCATGGTTGCCATTAAAGGGGGACTTGCGGTCTTTGTCCCGGCGATGGCGGCTGCTGCGTTTGCTACGCTGGAGCTGTTGTCGCAATTTTGCGATCTAAAAGAAGTCAAAATGGGGATGATGATTAGCATAGTACAGGAAAAAAAAACAAATAAAAGAGAAGGTAAAGGCACACTAGATCAGCACATGTTATAATGGCTCTAGATGTCTCACCTCTTTTAGCTGGTCAGTGCTGCCGCAAGAAGCCGATCGCTTGTGAGAGCCTCTCCTCCGCTCATCTACCCAGGCCCTAGGGGTCTGACAAGGAAAAACGAGAGCGAATGAGTGAAGAACAGAGACTGGACTGAACAATTCAAGAATCGACTGGTTCATTCATGAAATGGCTTACTGGAGGGAAAGATTATCCAGCCTGTTCCTCACAGAAAGCTATTGTATGACTTCAAGAACCTTTGATTCAAGTGCTTGCTTTTTTTTTTAAAGCTTAACAGGCATAAAGCCATTATAAACTATCATTGTGAATTTTTAATGTTGTTTTTGTAGGGCCTTGTTTACACCTGGTATTAAAGCAGCACTAAGTAGGAATTCCGTTTTTGTCAAACAGCGACCCCTAGAGTCGCTGTGGAGTACTTGTACTGTCGTGAATAGCACTCACGCAGAGATGGCTCGCACTCACGGCCGGATCCCCTCCCCCTGTACACCGGTACCTGTTCAGTAGGATGGACGCTGTAACGAGTGGAAATAAGGTATGGCCCCTTTAAGAGCTGTGCGCCCTGTTTAACTGTCGGCAGTCTGTATTGTATGTGCGCCTCGAACACCACATGTATACAGCGCCGGGTTATTTCTGTTTGATGCTCATTTTATCAGAATTTTATCAGATCTGTTTTTTGCCGTAAAGCAATTCGTTACCTCGCGAGACCTGATATCACACGATACTTCCTAACACTGAGGCCGGCGGCCCGCCGGCCCAAAGTTGCAATGGTGGTTTTGCGGCTCACAGGCACCAGGGGGGTGTGAGACGACCACGTTTCAACACGAAATCAGTAATATAAACATTACAATGACTCCAAAGCTGTTCGGTTAAGGTAAAAAAGTTACTTAGTTCACCTTTAAGATGCTTTTTGGTCGATCAGATCACTAGATGAGGGAAACGTACTGTACATCCATTTACACCTGCTTTTTTAATCCGTCTCTTTTGTCCACTTTCAACCACTTCTGTCTTGATTTCTTCAAAGGGAGGGTCTATGGGCGGGTAAATGTATGTTTTTTTCCCCCCCCAGATCTTTCAGATCTCAAGCGCGCTTCCCATAATGTTTACGCGTTAGGTCAGTAGGCGGAGAGTAGGTGGTCTTTTGTGGCTGTTCGAACGCATTCGACCACGTGAGCGTTTACACTACGAAAGCAATCCAGTCGAATCAGATTTCGACTACCTCTGGAAGTGATCGAAAGTGGACAAGCTTAAAACGTTTTAAACGCCCGTTTACACCTGTATTTAGCGTTGTCCACTTGTGATCTGATTGACCAAAATGCATCTTAGTACCAGGTGTAAACAGGGCCTAGGTGAACTAACTCTTTAATGTATGAATACTATGAAAAAATCTAGAACAAGCTACATTAGTCCTTCTTTCACCCTATAACACATGAGCAAGCAGAAAACTAAACCAATTATACTATATGTAAAAATATATAATATAATTTTTAACTGGTATTTTAACTTGTAGATTATATGCCTTAAAGGAATAGTTCACTTAAAAATGAAAATTCTGTCATCATTTACTCACACTCAAGTAGTTTCAAACCTGTATTAATTTCTTTCTTCTGCTGAACACAAAAGAAGATATTTTGAAGAATGTCAGTGACCAAACAGTTGATGGATCCCATTGACTTTCATAGTAGGAAAAAAAATACCATGGACGTCAATGGGATCCATCAACTGTCTGGTTACCGACATTCTTCAAAGTATCGTTCTTTGTGTTCAGCAGAAGAAAGAAAACAAACTGAAACAACTTGGTGAGTAAATGAAGACAGAATTTAAATTTTTAAGTGAACTATTCCTTAAACTGGTAAAAACATTTAACTAATTTATAGTTATCTATATTGTGAATTCTACACAATTTGTTAAACAAAATAATCCCTTTTTATCACATATATGTGAGTGTTTTTATAAATTTGGTTATAATATAAATATAAATCTCTCTATGGTATAATTATGTCCATTTAAAGTATGCATGTTATGTAAGGATAGCATATAAACAGCATACATGTCTCACCTGAGTGGCCTTGTCCCTCATTTAGAGGGTGTGGTGGGCGGAGCTCCCGTGCCGCTGCCAGTTCCTTGATAGGCCAGAACTTACAGGTGAGTTCAAGGGAAGAGAATCCCTCAATGTTTCAGCTCGAGGAAGGGCTTTCGCAATGATGAGTGTCTAATGTAAAAATAAAGGAAAAGTAGGATATTTTATAGATGGACCTGCATAGACGCTCAATAGTTTTGAAGGTTGGATTGCATTTTTGTAATCTTTTAGTTTTGATTCATCCACCGCAAAACTGCTGACCCAGCATGTCCCCTCTTCTCTTGCTGTAAAATAATCATTATCTCTTGGCCTCTATACATAATCTCTTAATCCATGTGTGGCCTCTGTCCCCCATTTATTTTCTACATTCCCCCCACTCTTTTTATTCTTTACACCATATTTTTGATGTCTGTTCATTGCATGTAAAAACAAACAAAAACACAGAATTACTGAGGTCACTATGAAATTCAATCCATCATGCCCTGGTTTACCATTCTGCACATGAAGATGGATTTTTATGCATTAATGTAAGAATTTAAAACACAACCTACAGTTAGCTGATTGTAATGGTTGTTGTTTGAAATGTAGTGTTGTTTACCCACATACTGCCCCCCTTGAAGCCTATTTTCAGCCATGGTGTTTGCCATGGCAACCAATCTAGATAAGGTGTGATGTTAATGCAATACACTCTGCCAGATTAAATGCATTGATGAAATAAAAATCATTAGATCAATGATGATTCGTTACTAAAATATAATAATATAACAATAGCACACATCGTATAAAATAACGTAAAATCTGCTGCATCAATGAAACATAATTGTATGCAGAGAGGTCAACATTTTAAAAGCGCAAAATTACAAATATGCATTTTATAATTGCAGATTGCTGGAATGATTGCAACAGACGACCAGTCGCATCATCAGTGTGAAATCTGCAGCACCGCACCCCGCGCGCAGGAATAACGAAAACAAGACGACGAACCGCATGACAATGCCATGTAGATTACACTGCTCACGTTATTCATAATCTACGACCATTGCAGGCATTCACTCGATCTGGATGCAAAAACAATATCCATGATATAACAATAGTATTGCAGTGCATTGATAAATAAGCGCATGGTGTTTCATACGTCGGGTACGCACCTTTGACTGATGAAAGAGAGACTGCACACAGCGCGTTCATGGTCCTTTGCGTTAAAAAGAAAACACAACGGTGTGGTATGGATCCAACGTTTGTAAGGTCGTTGAAAAACAGGTTGTTTGATGGTGGTGGAGGGCGGCCGGTGTTGCTGGGTCAGGGAAACAGAAGGAGGATGTGCAGAGGAGGCGTTGCTATGGGCGTTGCTGTGCTGCTGGTGGTCGATGGGCTAGAGCTGTGCAGTATTATCGAAGTGAGCGAATGTATGAGTGGGTCCTCAACAGCTGAAAAATAAACGACTATTTTTTTGCGGTTGCAGACATGTCTTTCGGGGAGGGGCGGCAAGGGTCTCCCTCAGAGGACAGCTGGCGTTGAGGTGCGCGCTCCCTCAGCCTCAGTGGTTCCGTCCCGTGCGCGCGCACACCAGACGACGTTACTGTTGCTGAGGCGCGTGGTGCTGTTTTTCCTCCATCCTGCTGATGTGCTGGTCCACGGCCAGAGATGGGCGCTATAACGCTATGCAAATATCAAAAGTAACAGGTACAATACACCATGTAGCCTGTATAATGTATACATGCATGTATGTATTTATTATTATTTATAATTAAATTATTTTTATAATTATAATTAATTAGTGTGTGTGTGTGTGTGTGTGTGTGTGTGTGTATGTGTATATATATATATGAATTATATAGGCCAAAAAGAGAACAGTAAATACATGTATGTAGCTATAATATATATACATTATATATATATATATATATATATATATATATATATATATATATATATATATGAATTATATAGGCCTAAAAGAGAACAGTAAACACAATATACATATGTAGCTATAATATATATATATATATATATATATATATATATATATATATATATATATATATATATATATATATAATGCATATAAGACATGTGCTTCTTGACTATTAATATAGTAGATATTTTACAAAATTATTTTAAAATTATAATATTGACGATATATAGCATAATTTATACGATGGGCTTATATTATATATTTTTTATTATTGATTGTAAATTGGTTGTCTGGGTAATTTTAAACTGGAAATGTTTTAAATAACTTAAATTACAGTTCTGCTTTAATGGCAGTGTGTATTGTCAGCCTTGATGTTTGTCATCAGTCATTCTATCAGTCTGCCGCATGAGGGCGCTTCACCTCTATTCTCTTATAAAGCGGCCGCCCCACATCGAACAATCGGATCCCGGAGACAATCTGAAGACGAGGCGTTTCCAGTCGCTGTCTGGTCTGCTGTGTCTTCCTGCCCGTCTACTGTTGCCGTTCCCCTTGTTTGGACTACGGGCGAAAAACGCTAAACGAACAGTTTCCCAGCTCAATGGATCATGGAAACAAAGAAAAATCCTGAAACGAAGATCAAAAGATAACGAACGCGAGGAATATGACGACGAATGGACATTTTAATAGTCGGCAATCACGAAACGGATGTTTTCCTGTCCAGAAACTGTGTTACCATCGAGGAGACTTGCGGTCTCGGGATGTCCCATATAACTGCGCTAAACTCTGAATAGGCAAATGTATGGGGCGCGTGCTTTGGAACAAAGGGAAAATAAAGTTTGATGTGAATTGTTAATTTGGTTTGTTACAACAGGACTCTCAGTAGTCAGATTTCACAGTTATCGGATTTGATGCTTCCTGCCGAAGGGGGGAAAAAGAAGTGAAGGTTTAACGCAAGACGCAAGTTTGTATCATATTTTATGCTTCTTTAAAATGATGAACAACCTGGTTTTGATGCTGTATTGAAAAAAAAATGTGTGATGCTGGACTCTCCAAAGCACAAATATTATTGCCTGACTGCACTCTGAAGCCGTGACACGAGTAACAGAATAAATCAGAATATATTGTATTTGAAGAGGAGAAAAGAAAAACATGGCAGTTGAAGGCCGAATAACAATTCTTGACGTTGGACTGATCGCAATGGTGGTTCTTCTGGGTCCTGTGGCTGGTAAGTAATAGTAAACACATAGTAGCAATAGAAAATATCATAGAATTACAGTAAAATTGCAGTTCCACACCCTAGTTTCCCAAATCCCTCCATATCCTCTCAAAGTGAAGGCGTAATTAATTGTACACTGTGTGTGCGTGTGTGTGTGAGTGTGTCCTGCTACTTTTGTGGTAAATTCACTGCCACCCACATCCATCAGGAACTCTTCATTTCCTGAGTGTGTGTGTTTGTGGATAAGTAACAAAGTGAGCCAGTAGAACAACACTTTATGTAGGCTATCATTGTATGGATGTGCATACCTATAATGTGTGCCTCTGTATCTAGGTGTGCGTTGTGTCCATTTAAATATTATTTTTATCTTTATGTGTGTGTGTGTGTTCTCTCTGGCACCAGCCCCTGAGCTGCAGTGGAGCTACTGAGCAGCATCACACAGATAAGATAAGAGCTGACCCTGCTCATGGTTCATGAGGGGAGAATAAAGGCTAAACACTGATTAGCTGTTAAGACAAGCATGAAACTTAATTTCTCATCTTGCGGTTTGGTTATAAGGACACATTACGGCTTGCAGATTGGCCTCCTCCGCAGCTAACCCTGCAGTCTGACCATCGAAGATGGAACCAGAGCCAAATATCAGCTCAGACAGATATCAGAGTACAGAACGCTATAAGCTTGACCATGTCCACTTCAGGTCTGAGCCAGCCTCAGATTTGTTGCTACTATGGTGCTATTAAAGTAGAACTTGTGATTGTTTAAATCATTTTAAGTCGGAGTTGGATAATGTTTTTACAACCACTATGTAGAACAGTTTTTAAAGTATTAATATTTTATTTACACACAATGATAACGAAATGATTATTAGACACCTAAATGAAACCATAAGCATTATGAATGGGAAACTAAAACTATTAACAAATGGTAGTTGAAATAAAGCTGAAATATAATAAAATATAAATATTAGATCCATCCATTCATTCTCCAAACCGCTTTATCCTCTACTACAGGTTCACAGGGATGCTGGAGTCTATCCCAGCGCCCCGGGCCACCCTGGACGGATGGTCAGAACATTTCAGGGATATTAACATTAGATGAAAAACATAAGCTTAGATGCCTCAACCACTAAAGCTAAAATACTACTTAAGTAAAAAAAAAAAAAAAAAAAAAAAATTAGTAAAAAATAAAAGTAATAAAAAAGCACATAACAAATTGACTCAAATTAAACTAATTTTAAAATGAAAACTGAACATATAGCCTAATAAATAATATAATAGTATAAATAATACTAAAATAACACTGTTATGAATATTATAACCATAATAATAATTGAACTTTTTTTGTTATATGACTAGTTGAGTAAATTATGCTAACAACACATTCAAATATTATATTATATACGTATATTGGTCTGTCATGGGTGTTTTCACACCTAGTTTGTACTTCAAGCGGTCTTGAGCTTGTGTGTATGTGAACACCGCAAATAACCCGAGACTCATCTTTACGGTTTCTCAACCAGAGGCCCGGCCGGGGCCCATAGGGGGCCTCAAGTAAAATGATTTAAAATAAGACAAAACAAGCATAAAAGATAAAATATCATTTTTGTAATACTTTATTTATTGCCATTTATAACAAAAATACAGAAGAGTATGCAACAAAAAAAGGAAAATTCTGATATTTCTTATGTAATTCAGAGCCTCAACAACTGTTCTTTTTCCTCGAAGATGAACCATACAAGTGCTTTGCATATTTTTGAATGCACAATATAGGACATAGGGATTCATAGTCAAAATTCATGCAACCCCAATGAAACAAAGTTAGTATGAAAACACCGTCTGATTTTTCCCTTTGCATCAGTGCGTTCTAGTCAAGTTTCATTTTGAAACTTTCAACATTTTTCCACCAAATCTATGTGTGTTTGTCTGTGTGCGCAGTTCCCTCCCCTATAATTCTTCTTTTGCGTGTGACAGTAATTGTGTGCGCTTCCTGAAATAGTCATTGCATTCCATAGTGTGGGATTGTCAGGGTTTTTGTGTAGTTTGGTATAACCCTATAACTCCAGCAGGAGAGTAAATGTCATGTTGCCATAGAGGAGGTCGTGTATTTGATTCTGTGAGTTGTGAAGCATTGAGACAATGTCCTTTCAGTTGTGTAGTTCTGATTTGTTCTGTACTCTCTAGTATGTTGATAAGGGTGGCTTATCTCTGAAAATGCTTTGTTTACATACCAGGGTTTAAAAGAATATTTCACTCCAAAATGAACCATTGGTCATCATTTACTCATTCCCATCTCATTTCAGTTTCATATTGTTTTCTTTTTCTGTGAAAGAGGGTGATTTCCAGTTTTGCACAGGAAAGTGGACGATTAGTCAAATCGACTGTATGTTAAGTTGACATAAAAGTGAACCTGGCTCCCAGTTTAATTATGTTCCTGGCCTTGAAAGTGGACTCAGATCTCAAAATAATGTGATGAACATGGAACGCTTTGCTTTTTGAATGCAAAATATTGGCAAAAGGGGGTTTGATTCTGCTTTAAAGTTCATTTGGAGCATTCACATTAAAAAAATGAATGCGATTTTCTTTCTTTCGTGAAACGGAAATCTTTGGAAGAATATCAGCGTTTTGCACAGGGAAGTGGATGATCAGTCAAACAGATTATCAGCCTGTCTGGATGTTAAGCAGACCCTAAAGTCAACCAAGTAGAAGAAGAACCCAGTTACTTTTTACATTCATTCTGTTCCAGGAATTTAAAGTGGACTCAGATGTCAAAATAAAGTGAACACGGAGCACTCCGTAAAAAAAAAATCATAAATGTAGTCCATTTGACTTGTGCACAATATTCCAAGTTTTCTGAAGCCGTACCATAACTTTGTGTGAGGAACAAACTAATAGTGATTTACTGATAAAAAAACTGGATTTAGAATTCTGTACAATATTGATAAGCCAATTATTTTCATGATATGGCTATGATAATCAAGAAATGGTAGATATTAAATTCTATACTATTTTGTCTAAATAAATTAAAAACTAAAATCAATTGTTTCAAAACGTTAAATGTTGTAAATGTAGGCGTTTACATGTAAAAATCAACATTGGCTCTTTGGAAAAATGTGCGTCTAACTAAATTTTTGAAAAACGACTAAACAATTCACTCGCAGTAAAACACCAACGATTTCCTTTTCACACAAATGATCATTACAGCCACAGATTATTGACTAATAAAGACTTATTTTTGTGCAGTTGCACAATACTATGTATGTTATAACTTATAACCTCAGTACACTTTTATTAATTACCATAGTGCATGATTTGTAAACTAACACATTTTGACGTTTGCATAGCAATAACCAGCTCCATATGTATGTCTTTTTTTGATATAGTAAATAAACTTGCTCAGTAGCTCATCTGGTACAGCAATGCACTTACAATGCAGAGCGCTCAGTTACAATTGCTGTGAAACATGATTCACGATAAAAGAGCCCAAAGACTTGTAGAAGCAAGCTAAAGCAAATGCATTTTTATCTCACATTTGCTTTTGTCAACATCAGTCAGGTTTAGGGTAGTGTAGGTGGTACATTATTTTCAAGCACTATAGAGCATTAACCTTTAAAGTTCATAAAGAGATCGTAAAACTAATCCATATGAATTGAGCGGTTTAGTCCAAAAGTTTGAGTTTTTGGACCAAAATTTTTAGGACCAAAATTTTTGCAGCACGTTTGAGCTTCCGCAAGAACCAATGAGGTTCATTCTCTTGTGTAACGCAGCACGTTTGAGCTTCCGCAAGAACCAATGAGGTTCATTCTCTTGTGTAACGCAGCACGTTTGAGCTTCCGCAAGAACCAATGAGGTTCATTCTCTTGTGTAACGCAGCACGTTTGAGCTTCCGCAAGAACCAATGAGGTTCATTCTCTTGTGTAACGCAGCACGTTTGAGCTTCCGCAAGAACCAATGAGGTTCATTCTCTTGTGTAACGCAGCACGTTTGAGCTTCCGCAAGAACCAATGAGGTTCATTCTCTCGTGTTACGCAGCTCGTTTGAGCTTCTGCAAGAACCAATGAGGTTCATTCTCTTGTGTAACGCAGCGCGTTTGAGCTTCCGCAAGAACCAATGAGGTTCATTCTCTTGTGTAACGCAGCACGTTTGAGCTTCCGCAAGAACCAATGAGGTTCATTCTCTTGTGTAACGCAGCGCGTTTGAGCTTCCGCAAGAACCAATGAGGTTCATTCTCTTGTGTAACGCAGCACGTTTGAGCTTCCGCAAGAACCAATGAGGTTCATTCTCTTGTGTAACGCAGCACGTTTGAGCTTCCGTAAGAACCAATGAGGTTCATTCTCTTGTGTAACGCAGCACGTTTGAGCTTCTGCAAGAACCAATGAGGTTCATTCTCTTGTGTAACGCAGCACGTTTGAGCTTCCGTAAGAACCAATGAGGTTCATTCTCTTGTGTAACGCAGCTCGTTTGAGCTTCTGCAAGAACCAATGAGGTTCATTCTCTTGTGTAACGCAGCACGTTTGAGCTTCCGTAAGAACCAATGAGGTTCATTCTCTTGTGTAACGCAGCACGTTTGAGCTTCCGCAAGAACCAATGAGGTTCATTCTCTTGTGTAACGCAGCACGTTTGAGCTTCCGTAAGAACCAATGAGGTTCATTCTCTTGTGTAACGCAGCACGTTTGAGCTTCTGCAAGAACCAATGAGGTTCATTCTCTTGTGTAACGCAGCACGTTTGAGCTTCCGTAAGAACCAATGAGGTTCATTCTCTTGTGTAACGCAGCTCGTTTGAGCTTCAGCAAGAACCAATGAGGTTCATTCTCTTGTGTAACGCAGCACGTTTGAGCTTCCGTAAGAACCAATGAGGTTCATTCTCTTGTGTAACGCAGCACGTTTGAGCTTCCGTAAGAACCAATGAGGTTCATTCTCTTGTGTAACGCAGCACGTTTGAGCTTCTGCAAGAACCAATGAGGTTCATTCTCTTGTGTAACGCAGCACGTTTGAGCTTCCGTAAGAACCAAT